TATAATGTTTATTTTATCTCTAAATCACCTTTAATCACGGCTTTATATCAAATCTGTTTTACTTTCTCCCTGCTGACAGTGGGTTTAATGGTTAGATAAGGGAGTTATATATAGTTAAAAAAATAAACTCTGAAGGCCACCCTTTAAAAAAGAGTAGTTAAGATCAGTACTCAACCTTAAGAGAAAAACAACCCTTGGATCCACGTTCAGGAGAAGTGGCAAACCAGATTCATAGCATCAAGGTCACAATTTCAAACAGAATTTCAAACATGTCACCGCTGTGGTAACAATGATGCTCATAAGTTAATTAACAGAAGAAGCTATGACAGTGGCTCAGATATAACGTACTACAAGCCACACATGAGTTATTTCATGATATACAAAGGAAAAAATTGGGTCTCTTTTCTGAGACATTACTGAAGCTGTTTACTGAAAAAGTGTATGAAGCAACTTTCATTAATATTTCTGGTAAGGCTACATTGGATTAAACTACTTTAAATACCTGAGTTAACCCAGCAGTGATTTCCTAATGAAGAAAACACTTCTAGTCACAACCCCATTCCACAATGTGCTTGGAATACAAAAGGTGCACAGAATTGTGAGTGTCTCAGATGTCCTCACATTAGAGATGCAGACCATGTACCCTGAGTTATAAATGCAGCACCATGGAGATCAGGTGGGCTGTTATGGTTGGGGCCTGCAGGACACTGTTTACCAGGAACAGGTTCCTGCTTTAAAGGCAACACAACTGTCGGTCAGTGTGGATCACAGATGTGCCACAGTCGGGTCAAGTCATCAGACCAGCATTTAAGACTTTATTGATAAAACCCCATTAAAATAACAGGGAAGACTGTCATTGACTTTAGACCAGGTTTTCATGGTCAAAAGTGCCTCAAGATAGTGATGTTAATAGTCTGATCACGCCATTTTATGTCCAACACCTGTGTTAGCTCAGATGGGTGCAAATGTATTTGTATTTGGGTGCTGGATGGAATAACAACTGCGTTGGTCAGAAACTAGTAAAGACACTAACTCTGCTTTGTGATGGGTGTGAGACAGGACCAATCGGAGATAGCCCTGATGACATCACTATTACCTCACTTTAGGGAGAGTCACTCAGAGAGGTGCTGCCCTCAGATGATATACACTCACTTTCACAAGTGCACTGCAACTTAAACAGACTTTTACACACTGAACAATGACTTAAGGTCATTACTTTCTCTTAAATGTAAAAGTATAAGAGCATCAGATCCAACAACCTCAAGAACCAACCAGGAGCTTCATATCCATTCTTTACGGGGCGTTTCTATTATTTTGTCCCAGAGCACTCGGCTTTATTGTTGGTGATTGGATGATATTGATGTCGAGATAAAATGTCAATGTTTTCAAACCCTCTTCCTGTTTGTGCAGAAAAAAATATGAGATGCTTTAGGACATTAATAATGTTCAGACCAACCTTTTTAAAGGCTTATTTTGCATTTGTTGTTTTGGATAAAAAAGTAAGCTTTTGGGCACTGAAAACAGAGTGTAAAGTGATATCTGGTTCGCAGAAATTATAGCATCTGTTTATAGTTAAGACTGAGGCCAAGGCAATGGCACATCACCTCAGTGATTTCATCACTTCAATCCTGCGTGTAAAGTAAGTCTATAAGAAGGCCGCGTCTTGTTCATGATGAGGATGAATATATCGTCTTGTACAACACTGCGTACATCTGGTGTGTGTCCACTGTCTGAAATGTATGTAGAAATCATTTTCACTGCACTGTGCTGGGTTTCAACTGTCACCACCTCCAGAAAACAATCGTCTCAGAGCGTCCTTTACATTTGAACCTTCAAACGTCAGTCACGTGACTCATTTCACTCAACAAATCAAAACAGCGTGTTTTAATATAACTGAATCGACCGCTGGTGCCTTGGCTTGCCCTTGTGTTTAAAGTAGCATGGAGCGGCCAACATGATTGTGTGGTTCTGGCCCTGCTCCTTATCTGTTTCATGGTTGGGGTGGACTGACATGTGTGACTGCCAAAAGCTGCAGAGCGACGAATCCCCCCACGCCACACAAGCACAAACATTAACACACGCACGCAGCATGAGATACACCATGAGATGATGGAGAGTCTCCATTACAACAGACGTTCTCACTCAGAATTACTTCAGCCTGTTGCTGTCTGTTCCTTAAAAGCTACCTTTTACTCCACAGACTCATATCAAGCAGGTTTCAGCATCTAAAATGGTTTCCATGTCTGATATGATTTAAATGCAGCTATAATTGAACAGGAGTCACATCTGTAATAGCGTTATGGTTTCTAGTGTGTGAACATTCATTTTAAGCCTATAACGGTATAATGAAAATAAGGTATTGTCACATAGAGACCATGTGTACACCATGCAGACCAAGTAATAAAGGACATTATGTAATTTCTCTTGATGCATTATTCAAAACTGTTTTACCATTCCACACAACCCTATAGACATTTTATCAGTGGTGGCTCTAAATACTGCCAATGAATGCTTTTTTATGCTTGGTGGCTGACAACCAACACAACCAACATTTCTGACACTATTTGCAAGTGCATTATGGGTTACGTAGTTGTTGAGCTCATGTACATGTCTGATCAGTTTATTAACTTCTTTCATAAGACAGACGATTCAAAGAGAAAGGAGATGCATAAGACAAATGTATTACCTCAGCTAAGAAATTATTTTTTTAAATACATGCACATTTGTGCACATAGTAGGATTACGCAAAAACTACTGGACCATGAAACGTGTAAGAAGGATGTGGTGGGGACCAGGGAAGAACCCATCACATTTTGGTGCAGATCAGGAGGTAGATGCAGAAATCTTTTTGTCACTTTCTTTAACATGGCAAGATAATGTGTTTTTCAACATTTACATTGATTTCTCAGAGAATAATTCAGGCATCTTTAGGGGACTGGAAATATGAGTGTGTTCAACTTGGTACAGCTTGATTGAATTTAAAGGGACTGTAGGGCCTTGGTATACATTCTACTTCTCTGACTCGCCAAATCCTTCCACTATGTTTTGCGGTAGTCTGTCCAGTAGGTTTTTTATAATCTGACGGACAGGGATGAAAACATAACCTGATACAAAAACACAAATAAATCTAGCTTGTAACACAATGAGAAACTTCTCCCCTTCAGGAGATGAATATGAAAACTGCTTTCTAGCGCCAAACTCACAGGGACGCTCAAATATCCAAGTGAAGTAAGAATAAAATTCTGATCTCACATGTTATACTAAACTAAAACAGAATTATATCAAATCAAAACCATTTTATTTTTTGGGTTTGCGAATGGTTGAGTTATGGCTGGTGTCCTGTTTAAATCAGAATGACACATCCTGAGAACATATGTTTTCAGTTTATTGAGAGGGAACATTTAATCATCACTTACTCTCTGGAAATAACAACAAAACAAACAGGAGTTAAATGTTGAAATAATATAGTAATGTGAGGAATATGCAGAGAGAAAAAAAAGATTGTGTCCATTCCACGGTCAGAGGTTCGAAATAACAGTTTTTTTTTCCATTTAGTTGGGTTGATGATGTTGTGAACTATAAGTTCATTATGTTTGTTGTTTATTGTGACTCCTACTGGACAGATGTGACGTCATGTGAGGATACACATCAGCTCTGGATCATGTGTCACGAAAATAAAACAGCTTTTCGATATTATTGAGGGTGTGTCCAGGTGCAACTACGCTTTAAATGTTGCTGTTGCATTTTCTCCTTTTCTTTCATAAAGAGTAGTTTGATGTTTCCTATGCTAGGATATAAGTTAGGAATCATCAAAGGTCCTTTGCTAATCACTTCGAGAATCCGAACAGCTCTTATTGTCGCGGCCGCTAAAATACTTCCGGGTCATTTCACTCAGTTAGGAAGGTTCCTAAGCAAAATGGTATGGTTCTCAATACACTCCAAATCAAGAAAACACATGCAAATAGATTTTTAAAAACGTGGTTATCCGACATCTGGTGGTCATAAGGAGTATGACAGGAGGGGGCCGGTAAACCAGGACTGAGGCTTAGTCAAACATTTCTGGACGTCAGTTTAAAAAATGTGTTGCACATTACTGAATGTACCTGGTTTCTGTAAAGGCCGTTTCGGTTACAAGTTATTGATCAGGCAAATTCAAACATCTGTCCAACTTTGCCTAACTAGTTTCTTGTAGCTGTTTGAAATTTAACTTCATGAACACAACAGACCAATTTTCCTTTCTGACTCAATTTCAATTAGTTTTTAAAGACTTGCTTATAGGGCCAGGGTTAGGTATTTTGTCATGGGCTAGGGAATGCATTATGGCAATGAGTGTCCTAAGGACAGTGTGTGTGAGTGGCCTATATGGAGACATCACCAGATGTATTAGAATTACCTGAATGACTTAAAGGCTACTCAACATAATACAGTTACATTTCAACAGTGTACAAACTGGGGAGCAATGTGGGAATACATCTGGAAAATAACATTATTGACAAGCAATGAAAATCAATTTTCTATTTATTTTGTTTAATACATAAATACAAAAATGACTGAAGTATATGGCTAAAACATCCTTGAAAAGTTTCATCCATTCAAATGCTAATAATTTATGGGTATTCTGCATTGACATGGTGAAAATATGTTTTAATACATGTCTAATATGTCTCTTGGACATTTCTCTCCAGTTCTTTGATATAACTCAGTGCAAGTGTAAAAAATTTCAAATTACTCCAAGGGGTAACCTAAATAATATTTTCTGTTTGTAGGGAGGTGTCCATGGCTGAGCAAAGATATAGTGTGTCAAAGTAAACAATAGGGAACCGGAGATGGTTTGACAAAAAATTAAGCAGACAAAGTTCAAATTTGCCAAACTAATCATTCAACATGTTGTTTTTACATCAGAGGAGGAAACAGAGAAGTCATCTGCTGGATCCATGAACAAATCAAATGCAACTTGAGCGCCTGAGCCAGTGAAGATGTGAGTTTAGGAGGAGTTTGGGACTCCTGCACTTCTCTCCCTGGACCTTTACACAAACCTTTCACACAGAGTGAGAGTTGGGCTGAGCAGAAACACTTAGCGGGACTACTAGAGACTGTCTGTCGTGCAAAGTTCGCTCTCTTGGCAAAGTGAGCGCAGTTTTCTGGGAGATGAGCCAAACTAACCGACAGTTATCTGGTAGCAGGGATTGGCCACAGGGGAAAAGCAGAAAGGAGGCAGGAGACGGTGCGAGCGCTCCCAGCATGTCGCAGAAAAGTGAGGAAAGTCGGCTTTACTTGGTGAACACGAGGCGCAGAGAACCAGACAATGCGGACGCAAACGTCTATGGATCCGGACGCATACATCCACAAAGCTGCATCGTGGAGAAACACTCCCGTCAGACAGCTGCTGCTCCTCAGGAGTTGATGAACACTGGCTGCCGAGTTGGCGACTCTTCCTCCTCCTGCGCCACAATCTCAGAGACAACCAGGGAGCTGTGCAAGGCTGTGTCCGTGTCCCTGGGGCTCACCGTCGAGTCCACTGACACCAGCGACATGGATGCTGCTCTGCCCCCGTGTGCTGCCGCTGACCACATCCGCGGAGAGGGTTTATACGGAGCCGGAGCTGTGGCCCTGAGCTGCTCCGGAGCTCAGGCTGCCGCCGCCGGCTACAGGTGCCCGGACCGGGACGAGCGGCCCCTGCCTGGCCCGAAGCAACTGGTGGAAGTGTTCAAAAGTTCAGAGAGCGCTGCGCCCTTGCACCACTTCACCTCCGCTCGGACATGTGTGGAAGAGTCAGACTTCAGCCTGTGTGAGCCTGATGACACGACCCCAACGCGCCCAGCCTCTTGCCCTTACTCCGCGTCCGCGCCCGGCAGCCTGGCGCACTTCAGCCACACGGCACCGGCGAGGCCGTGCCGGGGCTACAAACCGCTGGACGAGGCGCGGGACGGCATGGAGAGCAAGTTCTGCGGTTACCAGCCTGAACGGTACAGCGTCAAAGTGAAATGTGAGGAGGGGGAGAGCACCGGGGCTCTGTGGCCCGGAGATTACACCTTCAATGACAAGTACAACTCTCAGCTGTGGGGCTCCAGACGCTGCGTAAATGCGCGCGGCACCGAAGCGACCGGCGCGTTCATATGTAATCCATACGAGCGCAGCGTCACGCGCTCTGAGCAGTGGTACCCGGCCGGGATGCTGAGGCCCACCTACCCCAACTCCAGCTACGTGAAGGCGGAGGTGGACGAATGGATGGATGCCCCCTACAACGACACGAGGTAAATAGTAATAATAATAGTAATAATAATAATAATGATAATATTGTTTTATCATGTGATTGAAAAGGTATGCTGAGTGATGGGAGTCTGTCCTGTCTCTCTCTGGAATCTCTCCGTCATTACAAACGTTTTTAGCCTAGTGTAGAATGACAGTTATAGCAACACTTCATCATAATAAGTCAAACGTCACCGCAGGAATATGAGTATTTAATCTTAAAATGCAGCCTGCTTTTTTTCTTTTTTTCTTAAAGACAGATGTTTAAATTACAGTGTTTATATATATATCTGGTTGATTTGATGCATTTAAAAATCTATAATGTTTGGTTAGCAGACTGGTAAGAGATGATTTCCATTTGTTTGTAAATGTTTGAAAATAAAGTTTATTCAGGTCAAAGTAGAAGTTGTTAAAATACATTTTCTACTATGCATATTTAATTTGAGGACTCATACCATTATAAATAGATATAATCACAATGAATAAAAAGATTAAGAAATAGAATAAAGTAGATTTTCTCATATAGAAAATCCATTGGTTCTGTTCAAACACATATTTTGGCTTGTAGCATAATACAGCTTTTTCCTTGTCTTGTTTCCTTCGTGAAACAACAAATAATGTTTGTCCGGACACCTGCTCTCTCCCCTAAACAACGGAAAAAGGATGTTTTTATTCTTGAATGGCTCCACGGCTCTTTGTAAATGCACCCAGTGAAAAAAAAAGCCTCACTTTGTTTTCTGATCCATAGCTTTTCTTTGGGATTTTCTCTAAAGGGAATATTATCACTGAATTTGCTGCACGTTTTTAATACATATGTGTGATATGACTGAACAGACAGAGGAACATTGCAGCAAAGTAATGGAATTTGATGACTTTTTGAGTGGAAGCCTGTGTTGATAGTTTGGTGACATTTAAAAATTTGACAAATCCTATCAAAGGTTCCTCATGTTTTTTTCCTAATGTTGCATTTGCATGAGCGCTCAAGTCTGACCTGACTACGAAGGACACAGAGTGGCCATGTTGACTGACAGGGCAGGTACCATGTGTGATCCAGCTTGACATGTCATGGCATCTGCAGTTTCTATGAACTGGTGAATGATTGTGAGCACTGTCTGAAACCATTGTCTCCGGCTGTTAGAGTGAAGTACACTAAGACCCTGCATGCAGTGACTGTTTAGGTACAGTCACTCATAAACCAGGTAGGAATGCAGAGGAAATAGAAATCAGTGGGTTCATGAAAAGCGAGGTCAGTGAACGCAGCCGTCCTTGTTCCTGTCCCTGCTGAGGCGAGATATGACAGCGTGGCCTGTCTTACCTACTGAGCGGTGTTTACTTCATTTGCTCCAAATAATAAAAACCTTGCCAAACCTTATTAACCAATAATAAAAATTCTGACTGCAGATGGCGACATGAAACACTGAAAAGAAAGAGATGATTAATTTGTGACAGAGGTCCTCAGCCACATGTCTAACAGGGATCATGCAGGTTATATGCTGTTGTGCAGTTTAGATTTCTTGCACAAGCGTAAAGACCTTGGAGCGCTGTTAGATCCAGCTGTCCTCTGCCTTCTCACCTCATGTCCTGCAGCCTGGTCCAAGAGGCAGATTTACTGCATTATCTGGACAATGTTGAGTCGCTGACTAAAACTCAGAGTACGCAGGCTTTTGATGTGGCCTCGCTCTAGATTTGAGTTTTACTCAACAACAAGGGAAACAGCAATAAACTATCCAGAAAAGTGTGTATTTAGCTAAACAGCTGTGATGGTTTTGTTCCACATTTTTTCCTTTTCAAGTGTCTTTTTAACCAATTTAGACATGGCTTATCACTCCATGGTTCCTTTAGGGTTGTGGTATTATTCTGCAACAAGGACACAGTGGCTTTGACTGGGATGAACGGAATAGGAACAGTTTTTCAGGCAAATGCAGAAAGAGAAGTGCTTCAGTTTGCAAATTTGTTTAAATAATGTTGTATTCAGACAGCACTCCTCTGCATGTGGGCAGCTCTGCATAGACATGTTGAAAGAGAGAGACCCAGACAGTTGAAAGAGGGAATATCACTTAAGAGTATAGCTACAAAAATATCACGTACACACACGTACACACACGCACACACACGTACACACACGTACACACACGTACACACGCGTACACACAAACTGTAAATATGTATATTTGCATGGAGGTAGAGGTGCTATAGCTTCAATGATCTGTTCAGTTGCAACAAGCTAATCTGCTGAACTTCTGCCTGCCACCAAACAGCTGAAGTATCTATTTTGCCATGAATGAGCACCTGTTGCTTTGCTTCTTGTTTAGTAAGAAAGAATATGTGCATTATGGATATGAACAGTTTGTTGTGGTTTCACCTGTTCTCAATGTGTGACATCAAGCTCATATAAAGTTGTATATACTGTATATATGAGGATCATCATCAAAAACATTCTGTTAAAGATACTTTTAGTGATACTATTGGTTTTGTTTTCTTTCATGTGCTAATTGTGTGATTTATAAAAAAACGTATATTTTATTTTTACGATTTGTGAAACTCAAGACACTGACATTTCAAACTTATACAGTCTGGAGTTATTCTACTGACACGTTGCCTCGGTGTCATGGAACTGTACTTATAAATGTCGCACGGACAAATGATGAATTTATCTTTAATATCCAAACAGATTTTACCAGGGTCACAAGGGGAGAGAGATTTTGCATTCACTCCATGTTTGTGTGTGAGGTGAATATCTACTGAAGTGATTAACAGTGATTACAAACTGCAGTGAGAGAAATGTACTGGAATTCAGTGATAATATTTGTTCTTACAGTTTGTGGGATCTGTCTACATTTCCAGCCATCTGCCAAAAATACATGATGCTTGGCCTCCTGTTATTCCTCTGACCAAGGAAGAGCTGCATGCCATTATCTCACAAATGAGTGAAAACAGATGTTTGGTAAACTATGTTTTCACCAAACAACACTGTAAACACAGTTTCCAGCCTCTCTTCTACTCTTGCTACTGCAACTTCATTTCTGTTTTTTATGAATGTGTATTACTTCAGTTAATGATGCGGAGTGAAATGAGGCAATGAAATAACAAACTGAAGTAGGTCTGTGCATGAAGTCGCTGTGCAAACCACAGCACATTGAAACGTGGATTACACAGAGGTGGTGTTCATGCACAATTCTGTTTGACTGATGCTCTCATTAGTTTTTACTGACCTTTAAAGTTAATAAAACATTATATACTTAAGTTTTTGTAAATGAAGAAAAAGCATTTATTACATAAATACATCAATATATTACTATTTTGATACAAAATATTTTTCTGTATAGGATCAGTGAATTTAAATGTGTTTCTCGAGTCTTTACATTTCTTTTGAATTTATATTGTTGTGATACAATAATTCCTGTTAATATATGTATAATATATATTGTGTCTGGTTTTAACTAAACATGATAATTATCACAATATAACGCAATTTGTTTTTATCAGCTATGATGCCAAAATATATTCAAATATTTTCTGTCAAAAACTAACATGAGAGTGAATGTTTATATTGTCAGTCTGTGACAGAGACTGAAATATTGCTTATACATTTACAATAAAGTGTAAAAAAAGTTGTAAAATATTTTACAAAAGAAAGAAAGGTGCTATTACGACTACCACAGTATCTTTTATTTATCCCTGAATGGTCATAAACTGAGGAATTTCTAGGTCTGGTCAGAAACACACACACATATACACAAACACACACACAGGGGTAAAGTAGGTTTTCACTCTTTACCATTAAAGTAAAACATGAATTCTTTACGCAATTTTCATATCTTTAAGTTTCATTGAGTTGTGTTTAGTTTAGTCCTTCAACTATTTGCAGCAACAAATAATGTGCTGTATGCAGGCTAGGATTTGCTGACAACACCCACACACACACAAGAACAACAGAATCTCTTAAGTTAGTGAATGTTAAGTAGATGTTTCAGTTACTATATTTCCACCTGAAATAAATGAGATATTTTAATATTTACACTGTAAAATGTGTGCAGTGCTTATTAGACCTTTATACTATTTAATAAAACTGACCTTTTTTTATAAAAAATCACATATAACATTATAATCTTTTTTTTATTCCCAAGGTCACCATACTGTAAAAGTTCTCTCTTCACACAAATGTAAACAATCCAGACTGCATTCTGGGTATTATTAGTTTCTGTGTTGATCTGTGGTCTGAGAGTTGGCATGCTGATCCTGACATGTGCATATTATTCACATATATCGCTGATGGATCCAGACCACAAAATAATTCTCTGTCACTACTCATCTAAGCTCAGCTCTCTTTGTTTAAACTGATGTGTCATGTTAATCACAGCCTTAACTGGACTTCAATCTAAGGTCTGAAGATGGCTAGAGATAGATTTGCATTGTTGCACGTGAAATAAATGTGAAACTGTGAACAAGTGAAACAATGCTGGAGCACTTGCCGACGAGCTGTGTGGCAGGATTACGTTGGATTTTGTCTCGCCTGTTTAAATTATTCTGACACCTGAAATGAATCAGAACACAGCGTGCATTCTTCCTTTGAGCTTCTGCTCCGTGCCTCTTCTTTTTTTTTTTTTTTACACCAAACCTTGAAATCTAAGTTGCATATCACTGAGGCAACGTTATGTCTGAGCCCTTTCCCTGTGTTTCAAGGCTGAACCCGGGCGCCCCATCGTCCCCCCACCCCCAGCTTGGTTGCGGTGTTGGCGCTCAAATCTTTCCCACACCGTCTTCAGTCATCACACTCTCTGCCCTCCTTAAATCACTTAGCGAGAGGCCGCAGCATGGCTCTGGGGAGAGAACGTTAACTGCTGTTAACTTACAAGTAAAAAACAATTATGGAGTTGCTGTGGTGAACAAGTTGAAGGTCAGGTTTTATTTATCCCAAATGGGCTATTAGTTTCAGAAGACGTTACAGTTGTAGGATTTTTAAAAAGTAGCATTGAGTTAGGAAAAACAGTGATGAATATATACATTGACTAATGCTACCAACTTCTAATTGTCAGTCATGATTAGAAGCAACTTGTTTAATCACATGGCAAGCACACGGCCATAGCTACTCATGGTCTATAAATGTTTGGTTTCATATGTTTGACTGCAGGTTTGAGGCTGGCAGAGAGCACATGTTCCCCATGGAGTTCTTCTTTCCACCACAGAGGATGTGCCTGATCTGTTCAGACGAGGCGTCTGGCTGCCATTACGGTGCACTCACCTGTGGCAGCTGCAAGGTTTTCTTCAAAAGAGCTGCAGAAGGTATAAAGCCAAACGGCTATAACTTGGTATCAGCCCTTTGAAGCTCATGTATGCTTACTAGTTTTTAAGACCTTTTTACATCCACCATGGAGGTTGTTTTTGTTTTTCTTGTTGGTAGGTTTATTTGTTTGTCAGCAGGATTTAGTAAAAACTACTGAATAGATTTCCATGACACTGGAAGGATGGGACATGGGCCAAGAAATTTGACATTCAAATTTTGCCTGGAAAATTGGTGGGAATGTTAAAAACACTCAATAAAAAATAAAACATTGCATTGTTAAAGAAAATGAAAAGAAAATCCTGGATCTGCCAGGAACTGTAATTGGAACTTTTTTGTTTCATATCCTTGCACCAAGTTTAATGGAAATCTTTTGAGTAGCTTTGCGTAATCCTGCTGACCAACCGTCCAACCAACCAACCAACCAACCAACCAATTGACCAACCAATTGACCAACCAACCCACCAACCAACCAATTGACCCTCTATCCTACCAACAAACGGACAGATGAAAAAGAACCCTCTGGGGAGTTTGTGGTTATATACATAATGTTTTACATTTGCTTTCTCTGTCCAAGTAGGCAAACAGAAATACTTGTGTGCAAGCAAAAATGACTGTACCATCGATAAGCTAAGAAGAAAGAATTGTCCTTCTTGTCGGCTGAGGAAGTGTTTTGAAGCTGGAATGACTCTCGGAGGTAAGATGATTCATGTACTAAAATATGCTTTGATTTATTTTTAGTATTTATTGCTGCTCCCACCTAATATGATATACATTTGTATGGACTATGATAAACACAGCATACTACATACTGTGTGACCAAAGCACACAACAGAGAAAGTGAAAGTCCCAAAAGTGAAACTATTAATGGTTTCCCAAGACCAAGTACTTTATTCTCTACACTGCACATCTTAGCTGGCTCTCTTCAATTGCAGCATCATCACAATAGGGGATGTTACTGATAATCAAGCCCCTGACTGAGCTGCCATGCAATTTAGACCTCTTCCATTCACTTCTCCTTACTGTCACCCAGGCCTGTTCGTCATGAAGATTGACATGTAGTGGACTAATTTTAGTCTTGTGTTCAATTTTCACTCTCTTCCATTTTCTCATTCTGTTAGCGGTGAAAATTGTACCGGAGGCACAAAGCTGACATGAGACATGTGAATTAAAGCAGCAGACATGCTGGTAATTTCACCACCAGTCGCTGACAAACCCATGGAGGGAAAATGTGATCTAATGCTGTGATTGTCAGTAAAAAGGCACACCTTTTCTAGTTGTGGCTAAAGAGATCCTTTCACTTATGTTCTCATCATGGACATGTAATTCACTCGGGGGATTTCACAGGAAAATCTATGACAATAATTTGTAGCAGTGGAGGCAGGAAAAAATTATACATTTCGTCTTATTATCCCCTTTTTACTCAAACTTCTTCAAAGTGAAATCATGAAATGCTGAGGGAAGGGGAGCGTTTTAATTTGACGAATCACTTATTTGAAAAATCACAAAGGTACTGGCAGCTATATGAATGAAGTTATTCTGTTTGCATCATTAGATCACTGTTTGTTTCACTCCTGGTAGTTTAAAAGGTCTGAAAAGAAGCAATGAATCTCTTCTAGTTGAGTTTGTGATCTGTTCAAGATTGAGAATCATAGCAATTGAAATTTTCTTCATTTTTTCTTAATTCCATATTATCCTGGCATGTTAATTATGACCACAAATAGAAGCTGAGCAGGGCGGTTACCTCTGTCAAACCATGATAGTTTGATAGTAGCCTCATTTGGCAGCAGCGTGAATTAAAGCTCTCTGCAAATCTGCACATAGGCGTTTAGTGTGTAAATCCATATAGACTTCATACATTTGATCACTCTGTCTATCATATGCTGAAAACAGTTTAGAACAATCTAGACCCTGGCTAAAACGAACATGCAACCTTTTCATGAAGTTTCCTTCCAGAACAATTTGTCTCCAACCAACTTTGACACAAAAAATATGAGATGTGCTAAGAGCCAGATCACCTACTGCTTCACTACCAGCAAGTGTCTTTTAGGGTAAATGATTCACACAAGCAGCCAGTACCAAGTGTTTTTACTTTTATGTACCAAAAACCACCTTTGTGTAGTTGTCATGCTCTCACACACTTCTCTCTGAAGTGAACTGTGGCCGTGTTCGAAATCACCCACAAGCTCACCAACTTTCTCTGCCCACAATACATTTTAAATGTTTATTTTATCATTAGCATTAATACTTTTTCGCTAAAAAACACGTTGAATGATCATCTTCAAATCTTCAAATTGTTTGTCACATTTTGTGCTGTTACGCTCTGCTCTGCTCATATTTACATTCATATGTCCTCCGTCTCTACGCCACGAGCACAATCAGCCAGTCAGTCTAAAGAGGTAGACATGTTTGGAAACAAGACCAGGTAAAAAATTCTAATGTTTTGTTTCTTACATTTCATATAGACATGAAGTTGACCTCCTGGTCATGGCTCAGTTACAAACAGGCTTCAGACAGTGTTGTCAGTCGATGTTAACTTGGCACGACACCAGTAGTTTCTGCCAGTCACTTCTCACGTTACCATGACGAGCAGCTAGCGGAACTGGATTTAGACACCTGACACCTGAGTTAAGAGTATTGGAGCGGACACCAGAAACAAGCCCCTGTCTCTGATGATGTCAAAGTAACTGCTGCTGCCAAATTATCCAAACAATCAAACCAAACAATCAATGCTTGTAATGGTAATACATCCCTGCATCCAAAGAATAAGGACTTTGCATCCAGTGCTAAGTTATGGATATTTCATACATGATGTTTTCAAATCATTCCATTATTAATCAAAATAATATAACTCAGTATTACGCCATTATATCAATGTATATACTTCATATTTGCCTATTATGAAAAGTAAAGCTTAATATTAAAATGAATATGTTACGTCTTTAATTACAACAGTACCATCCCAATGTTAAACTATTATTACCAAGCCATTACCCCACTATTACATATCCTTACGGAGAACTACCATAAATGTGACCCACTGTAGTATGTTATTGTTTATAGCTCATATTATATTATTTTCACTTGTCACATATGATCTTATTTTCTTTGGAATATGTAACATTGAATGTTTTGCAGGAGACTTATTGGACTAAATTGTAAGTTTGATATTGGACATTTATCCAGTCTCTTATCACATCTTTGTCCTTTTATCAGATTGTATGATACAATGCTCACACACACCTTTGCAGAAACACAATTTACACCAAAGTGAAACTTAACTGCGATACACATTACAATGAGAGGCGCATGGCCAATAAAGTTCACACACTTTAAGAGAAAGTGGGTCAGGTTTAGTTGGGAATGACAGTATCTGAGCTAATTACCTCTGGACTTTTGAGTTTAACACAGAATCCATCATTCTGATGTCTGCTCTTGATTCAAGCAGGGAGATCTTAAGGTTAGCTCATTCCAACTTATTTACACTGTACTCTGCAAAGTTCAGATGCCTGTGTTTGTGTTACAGTTGATAAAATCACATGGGGGAATTTTTAATCAAAGATTTTTATTTGTAGTGTTTGTTATCGGATCAGAAACGGAAATGTGAGACTTGCAAATGATCCTTCTTATATAATCTGCTGACGCTGCCACTTCTGACAGAGACTTAGGTTTTATCTATAACTGGCAATTCAATATCAGAGTGAAGTGAAAAGCCTGGCCGTGGTTTTAATGAGATTCTCCTCACTGGAGCTGCAGGAGGCATTAACATGTCAATTAACAGTTACTTTTTACTTTCAGTCAATTGTGATTCAAAGGGATCAAAGAAATAATACCTTTCCAACTATTTAAGGTTTTCTTTCACTCTCCTTATCTAAATAAATGAAATTAGGTCTTTTTTAAGATTTCGTTGGGCATTCCACTTTGACAACAAAAATGTCTGTTCTGCACTCAGCACATTGTCACCATTTGTACATTTGCCTGTCACTCACTCTGCAACACTGCTGTCACTGTGAAATAACAGTCTGAGCTGAAGCGTAGCTGTTCACAATTCTGACAGAAAACTGTCAGTGATTAAGTACAGTGTATTAAACTTGACTGTTAAAGACTCAATGTATTTGGTTGCGGTTTAGCAGAATATAATTATTCCAGTCTGATTGTATCGCTGCTTACCATACATGGCAGTGTGCTCCACCAAAGCAAAGAGCTGGCTCCAATTTACTGTAAGTTGTAAGTGCAGGTTGTCATACGGAGCAGCTGCATCAGGATTCTCAGCTTTTGTGGGGAAAGAAATTGTCATTGCTGAAGATGGTGGAGCAGAGTTTTCTTTTTATTGGATTCAGTTTTTTTTTACTGTGTTTGGCATTTTAGTGTTGTCTAATCCCTACATTGTTAAGGAAAAAATGTTGCAAATCTACATGATGTACAAGTTGAAGAAAATCATTGTAGTCTCTCATTGGATTTATTTTTTTCATTTTACATCTGGACGACCAGGACTCACATGCAGGCTTTTCCTCCATATGAGCCTCATCTGGTCAGAGAATTATCTTCCAAATGGAATTTCATTCAATATCTTCAAAGCTATTAGCAGAACAGCATAGTGTATTGTCAGATGTATGATTGATATTTCACTTATTATTTACAAACTGCAGTTGCCGTATGAGACATTTCTAATTGAGGATTTAGAAATTAAAGAAGAACTATTCCCATGCCTGTTATAAACCTGCCTGTTTGGAATGGGCTGTTCACTTAACCTGTGGTGATGCTGTTTGCAGCTTTCCTTCTGAAACTATAAAAGTGACCTACAGTTATTGAGCTGTGGCAAATAAAGACGGGCTGCTGGACTCGGTCCACAAAACCCTAAAGCTGCACCACCGCACCTGCAAAAAGAGCTGTTGCGTGTTTATTAACAGTTCAGTAAAGCAGATCCTCGACCTGGAGAATCAGTTGTAATGAATGCACATTGTCGTGATCAACAATGTCACTAACCATGAGTCCCAGCAGCTGCTGCCACAGAGTGCTGGTAGTTTGTTTATTCAAAGTTTATCATTATTGAACATATCTCCTGTCCAAATCTCACCTAATTCAACACCGCACGTCCTTACACACTTAATACACATGACAAGTGTGAAGCCAATAAGATGAACGGTTCTCAAGGAGGATTGAAGATCAGGTTTATTATATTGATAGCATAATTATTGCTCGTGACCTGACTCTCCTTCCATGCCTTTGTTTGAAGCACGTAAACTTAAGAAGATCGGACAGCAGAAAAACCCTGAAGAGGATCATCCTGTGCAGGACTCTGCAGAGGTCATACAGAATATCTCTCCTAAGTCGGGCCTGAACTTGAACTCCCAGCTGGTCTTCCTCAACATCCTGGAGTCCATCGAGCCTGAGGTGGTGAACGCAGGACACGACTACGGCCAACCTGACTCAGCTGCCACCCTGCTCACCAGCCTCAACGAGCTGGGAGAGAGGCAACTGGTCAAAGTGGTCAAATGGGCGAAAGGACTGCCAGGTAGGACACTGATAGAGGCAAAGGCGATCACCTTATTGCTTGATGAATTCACCTTATTAATGTAAGTTCTTACTTCCACTCTCCCTGTAGCACCGTCTTAATTCTTAGGGAAATGTCTGACGGACAGGAAATATGTCCTTTTAGTATCACGGTGTTATAGTTTCAGACTGTTAATTCATCCTTTCATTCATTCAGTCATTTGCCTGGCTCACATGCTCAAAATCTGCAGTCATTTCAGACCGTGCTACTCCACCTGATAGCCTCTCTCACTCACTCTCATTCATTCACCTGACCTGATCCCCCTCCCCACTCACATGTGCATCTCGTCTCCCTCCCTGTGTATTTATGTCTTTTTCCACTCTGCCATCCTGATTGTGCCTTTTTGGAGTTTGTGTTATTCGGACCCCTTTCCATTCTTGTATCCCTGATTTTTTATGGGTAATTTTTTCAACAGCCCAGAGCATGAAAACTGAAAGCTTTGTCACTAAAGGTTATTGTCCTGCTCTGTGGAACAATGAAAAAACTCATCCCCTGCCTTGGCCACAACCAGACCCTTAGGAGGAGGCTAGTCAGTTGGAGGATGAATCCCATATACAATCCTGGGCAGCCTGCCAGTCCCCATGGGAGGAAACCTGATCACCAGGGGGTCCACATTTTTCTGTTCCATTTTTGGGTTAGTCCAAACATTTATATTGTTGCCAGCAGCTGGAGGGAGGCACAACAGCCAGCCCAGTCAGTTCTGCTGACCCAGCTGATGACCCTGGGTAAAATAAATTGATTAAATTGAAGAGGCTCTAAAATTGATCCCTGAGGAACACCACTAGTTATATTTTCTCTGTGTGAGAGACAAAAACTAAATTTCTGTGATAGAACAAATAAGAATACAATGACCTTTCCAGAAAGGTCAGTGTGTTCTCTCAGTCTATGTCTAAACATGTCTAAATAGGTTATTTGACAGAACATCATTTTAGACAATTCTTTTGGAAAAACCTCTTTAGTACAAAATGTGCTATGTTGTTTCACATTTTTTGACTTGGATTCTTTGTCTTTAGGTTTTAGAAATCTCCACGTGGACGACCAAATGACTGTCATTCAGCATTCGTGGATGGGGGTGATGGTGTTTGCCCTGGGATGGAGGTCCTATAAGAACGTCAATGGCAGGATGCTTTACTTCGCCCCAGATTTGGTGTTCAACGAGTATGTACATCTCTGAATTCAATTATGATTCGTAAAAGGATTTTATCAGTGGGTGACCAAAATTCTGTGCTTCTCATTACACATATCACCCCCAGTGAGTAAGCTGGTGCCATCATACATAATTCAGACACCAATCTCTGCCTGACTTCGTCTCTCTCTGTCTTTGTCCTTCTGTGATTCAGTTCATGCACAAACACAAAGACATCTTTAGAATTTTATAAAAGTAAAGTAGAAATTCTCGCAGGCTTTTTAGGACAGTGTTCATCCAATTTCCCCCCTTTAGGTGTTCTATTGTCACTGTGAGATTAAAGTAAGGAACATTAGTTCTCAGCATTCAAATTCTCACGGCTTCAGCTGATTCAGATATGAATATTACAGACAGCAACGGGGTGAGGTCTGTCCGATTATAAGTGAGGAATATATTTTAGCTCCATCAAATGTTCAAAATTCTATGAGATTTCATACATTTGTCTCCAAATTAATGTTATTATATTGATATGTACTATTCATGTTTACTGCAACTCTTATTTATCTGCCCCACAAAAACTCTATATATTGAAAATTACATTTGATAAATATTTCCATTTTTTATCACTATATTGCAATTCACAGATTTGCAAATATTAGCTGATTTTACTTATATAATTATAATTGAGACTTTCGAGAACAGAGTTATTATTATGGCCATTTTTTTATTATTTAAAAAACAAGATATTTGGGCTTCATCTGTTCATGCTGCATACCACATTTGGTTGTAATTACTTCAATTTTGCAGAATAGATTATATTTTTTTCCAGGGCAGAAAATCCACCAAGATAGATTTAATATTCCAGACACAAGTCTTCAAAGAAAGCACAGTTGTTGCCTTAAGAGGAAGTTTAAACATATATCTTAATTAGAGCACTACTTTGAATGCTTGCCCCATGCTCTTTTTTCTTATCAAGCTTTTTGGTAAGATCTCAAATCAAGAGAAGTATCCCTGATTAATTTGGCAGGTAGAATTCCCTCAATGAGAATTTATATTTATGGTATATCTGCTCAATGGGTTAAAGAAAGAATCTTGTGATCATGGGGGATAGGTGGCTCAATCTTGGACTGGCAGGGAAATCATGTGCAGGGAAGTAAATGAGCAACAATACATGAACTGCCCCAGTAAAGCTATTCAGTGACCATCAGATATGACTGTGGTCAAACTGGGCAGCTTCCAGATATGATTGTGTAACTCTAGTCACGTCATTGTGTGGCAGGGTGTTGCTGAAGCATTCCAGAATCAATGCACAGTGAACCTGCGCTGAATAAATCAAGCTTTTAAAAAAAAAGGTAGTTCAAAACTATCCAAGTGTCAGGGAATATGAGAATTAAGTAAGGGCTTGAATAGTAAATAGTATCCCACATTGACATAAGTGGATACTTTAAATGAGAGAGGACCATTAGTGTGTTGTTTTCTTTTCCCTTTTCGCTGTTTTTAGTGTCCTCGAATATGACGCCACAATCATTATGCAAAACAGCGGCCAAGTTTTTGACAAAGCACAACACTGGGATTGTAAGAGTGTGTCCGGACTGGCAGGTAGCATCAACATTTAACACAAGATCGTGAAGCAAACACACGGGACACATTCACTTGATGTTTACAGCAAGAGGTTAATCAGTCATTAAACCGTGGACTATATATTGTATATGACTATTAATTGGTTATTAAATTATGGAAATTGAGCATGAACATTGATTCTTACCATCTTACCTTTATCAATTAGATAGAAAGTGGTGATATGGTTGTTACTTGGGTGTATTTGATTTATTTTAGTATAGCTTCACTAATATTTTATTTTATTATAGGGCTCTGCAGGGATTTAGATCTGGACCTGCATACAGTTGGAAGACTGAAAGAAACAGAATAAGACGGCATCAAAACAATGTCTGAGCCCAATAACGGCTTCAGGGCCTCAGGTGTACACAGTCACTATCTGGGCCAAGACTCTGTCTTCTGTTTGCTGTACTTGTTTGCAGTCCAACAGGTCAACATGAGTAAACATTTATCCTCACACAACACAAACAGTGATACTTTTTGTAGGTGTTTTAGGTCCAGACAACATTTTTGTTCATCTCTATTAACGGCTGAAAAGGACTGCAGATAGATCAAGAAGCCAGCAGCCGATGCATTTCGGTCAATCTGTTCCCCCTATCTTTCTCTCCACACAAACTGGAAACTGAAACCAAAAGTCAACCCAAAATCTTGTCCCTCGCTTACAGATTCTGTACTTATTCCTACATTTCCCATGAGTCAGGGGTGTCCTTCATTAAACCCTCTCCACCTCCGAAATAGCATGTCTTTCAAAGTCCTGCCCTCAGTTTGGAAATCAGGCTTTCTACAAAACCTGTGGAGCTCCTCATCCATGTTGAAGACATCATGATGACATATCAAGAAACCATTTCTGATATATGTATAATTTACATTTATACAATGTAACTGAATGCATACATTGCAGTTCATTAGTTAATTAATTACTTGTCCCTCTTTATCTTTATGTCTCTGCAGCTGGTACCGTTTCAATATCAAACTGATTTATTTCACCGTTTTATCTTCAAATATATTTTACATTTTCTGTTCCTGACTCATAATTTAGGCAGAATGATTTCACGTTTTAAGAAATTGCAAACTTTGACATCTTCGTTCAGTCGTGATGAACCTGAAATAACCAATCAGCTGCTGTGATGAAGTTTAAACCAGCGATAAAAGAGGATGATTGTGATAATGTAATGTGGTAATGGTAATCTCACACCAGAAGTCAAAGATCACACAGTAGAAATCAAATTTACCTTCACTGTCACCATTACAACAGTAATACAGACGGATCTAACCTCTGACATTCTTCCCTCTCTTGCTGTCGCTCATTACAGACCAAATGTCCAATGTACAAAGCAATTCATCCTTCATCTTGCGATTTGAACACCCACTCACATCTCTGCTTCTGACCTTTTCACGTCCGCAGGAATCGGATGCACATCTCCACCATGTACGAGCACTGCATTCGGATGAGGCATCTCTCCCAGGAGTTTGTGCTGCTGCAGATCACTCAGGAGGAGTTCCTGTGCATGAAGGCCCTGCTCCTCTTCAGCATTAGTAAGTGCCGTCCTGTGTAGCAAGCATAGCAACAAAGTCAGAAGATTGTCAAACATGACGTCTTAACCGTTTCTGTTACCCACCAGTTCCAGTCGAGGGTCTGAAGAGTCAGAAGTACTTCGACGAGCTGCGTCTCACCTACATCAACGAACTCGATCGGCTCATCAGCTATCGAATGACAACCAATTGTTCTCAGCGGTTCTACCAACTCACCCGACTGCTGGACTCGCTCCAGATGGTGAGACATCACTGCTTCCAAAAATCTCAGGTTAATTGTTGTTGCACGTGCACACGCTCTCTGTCCTCATGCCAGAACGTGTTGTTGCATTTTACCAAATGAGAAGGTCAGGGAAAACAACATTAATTTAACAGTTCAATTTGCCTAAAACATCTCCCGGGGATGCAATTAAATCAGAGATTGTCTTGTTATTTTAAAAAGCTGGTGGAAAAATGCTGCGTTCATGTTCGTACATGCAGAATGTGATTAAAATCTGATAACTGCTGTTTCATTTTAGGGAAGAGCATTAGTTTGGTGTGTGTTATGTTTTCAAGACTCGTGCTTTCTGAGTCATGGTCAGGAATGTGCATGTTGTGAGTGTAATTAAACTGATGTCATCTCTTTATATTTTCTCTCGGTTTCAGACGGTGAAGAAGCTCCATCAGTTTACATTTGACCTTTTCGTCCAGGCTCAGTCACTCCCCACACAGGTCAGCTTTCCAGAGATGATTGGAGAAATAATCTCAGTTCATGTACCTCGGATCCTGGCAGGTTTGGCTAAGCCCATCTTGTTTCACCAGTAGACAGATTTTTTTATATAAAAAAATTACTACTCTGCTGCCTCCATAAACTTTACCCAAGGCTTTGCACTGTTTTTCCCTCCATGTCCAACCTAATAGCACCAAGCTCTGTCCCATAATCATAATTTTATTGCGCAAGCTTTTTTTTTCTCCTTTTAGCCATAATTGAGATTGTTTGCTCTGAACTGATAAAGCTTTTATCTGCAGAGCTGCGATTCATCAACCTGTTGACAGCTCTGCTCTTTCAGACTGGAGGCTTGTGTTTTCAGCTCGGCACGAGATGCTACTTTACATAAGAAGCAAGTCTGTAAATCAATATTACAGCAAGCGGAAAGCATCAGGGTTAAAAACATCATGTTTTTGCATGTGACCTCCATTATACAAACACTTGAGGAGGTACACATAAATATTAAAAAAACTAGCAAATGAGAGATGGCCCACAGAGCAGGAGAGAAATGGATCATCGTAATAAACAGACACTTGTTCACCAAAATCTGTTTTTATAAACACTGCCTTCAGGTGCTGCAGATGAAATAGAAAGTGATAAATACAACTTAGAAGGACTGTAAAAGCCTTAAATTAGAAACGTGCATGTATAAGATTTAGTTTTTATCATTCACAAAATTTTACTTGAACACATTTTTTTTTATTAAACTTCCTGATATATGCACAGAGTCCTGAAATCCCTGTGAGGTATTAAAACCTGTTAATAAACTGTTTAATAAGTCATTACTGAAAATCATTTGATTGTTACAATTCTAAACGTAGAGTAAATGTAAAACATTAGATGTTTTAAATCCAATAGTAAATAGTGAAATTACAAACTGAGTATGGGAACTCCAACAAGTAATTACATCACTGTTATTAAGACTTAAGCACTCCAATGCTTGTCAATGAGGCGCAGGAAAATATCACTGAGTTGTATTTACTACATGCTTGGTTTGTCACTAGTGTGATGGCAGAGGCAGCCGTAATTTATTTATGTTTTTAACGTTTGACCTGTTGTAAATAAAGAATATATCTGCCAGATTGTGCTCATTCATTGGTAAAAAAAATCAGAGTTGAAAAAATCACAATTACAATAAAGTCAAAGACTACTTTACCTTTTCTTTAAGAAAAATGGTGGACAAGATGATAGGTCATATCAGATTGTAGAACAGGTGGCTGCCATCCAACCAAAAATCAACATTAAAGACATGTCACTATTCTAAAATCAAATATCATACATCATTTCTTATTAGATAGAGCAAAGTGTCAAATTTGATCCAAGTCACAAAAAAGACAGTCACTAAATATTAAACACTATCTGTCTCCTGTATGTGCGGCACAATTGACAGGAAACCCACTCTTCACTGACACAACTTTTCTTTTCACAGTAAGTCTCTCTGAGCCAAAACAATACAGATATCTTGAAAACATACTTCAGGTTGACAGTCATTTTGCATTTCAAACCTTTTCTCGTCCAGTCTCCTGGATCGGCCCCATGAACCAGATCCGCATCAAAATGTTATGGGCTCTTCATAGACACATATCGCATCCTACCAGTTTTTGTGGAAATCTGTCCAGTAATTTCTGCGTAATCTTGCTTAAAAACAAACAAATGAACCAACAAACAGACAGGGGTGCAAAGACGGTAAAATAAGCGAAGTTCACTCATTTACATACATCCATAAGGTGATTCTATATATGTGGCACAGCAGCCAGATTGACCCCCCCCCCCCATCAATTTATTTGTACATTTACCAAAAATTACTTTAAGAAAAGAAAGGAAGCCCTTCAGCCACTTACCACCGTTCCTCCCAGAAAACACGGTGTTGACAACGTCCTGCAGACAAACAGTGGTGCCAGAGATCTCAGATCAGTGCAGAGACCTTCCAACAGGACAATAAATATAAACTCACAGCCATCTTAAAACTGGAAGGCTCTGAATGTGGAAAGCTATGACATCTGTTGCCAAACCTCATAGATAAAGTCCAAGAATTAAAAAAAAAAACTGGAATGCTTTGATGATAACTGAACACAGACACTCGAAGGGGGCTGATGAAAAGGGTCACCATTGATCCAGGTGAACACATTCATAATTTTGATATAAATCAAGCTTGTAGATATGTCCATCACTGCAGTGAGAGTAACTTAGACTGAAGTCTTACAGTAAAAGTGTCGTAGCAGATTTAAACTTCTCTCCGAATCCAGCTGCTGCGTTTATGACAATCCAACACCAACAAATCTAACGACAAATTTCTGTGGCTCCTTCTGCCTTGTCCAATCATTTTCAACAATGTTTTATAACTCTGTAAATTCAACACTTTTTTAAAAGACAGTTTCTTTTACACGCCTGTAGATGCATGCACCATGTGTATATCTGTCTTTGTAACTTTAAGCTTTACACAAAGCACTGCTCAGACATCCATGTGTTCCTCCAGTTACCTGTTTGTATTCAGTGCTATCTGATAGCTGTCCCCTGCATTGAACAATAGCGAAACTATCAGGAGGCATGAATGTGTTGTACAGTGACAAGTTGACAGTTTTCATCCATAAACGTTAGTGAAGCTTGTAATTTACTTCATCTGCACAGGTTTTCATGTCTTTTTCTTGTCTTTTTTATACAATGTGAAAAGGGTGGAGTGGGGGGAGGAAAGGCGATCGAGTCGCTACAGACAAGTACACTTCATGCATGAGTCTTGACCCCAATGCACCTGCTAATTATAGCCCTGAAACTTGATAAAAATGTGTCTACTGTCATTTGAGACGCTGTAGACAGACGTGTGATTAAGACAGGAACCCAGATTAAATATTATTCATTTGCAAAGGCAGTAACATGATTCGGAGCATTGGTATTTTAAATAAGTGGAAAATGCTTAAGTTTCAATCAAATGATAAACAGATATTCTTCAAGACTTTTTACATTTCCTGAATGCACTATGTTGAACATCTGTTCTTAACAGTTACACTTTGTTTCTCTTCAGTCTTGATAATAATACTGTCCTAAATAATGCAGTAGTTTGTTGCTATTAATCCTGTATAGCTTTATTATGCATTACACAGACTCTGAAGGCATTACCAGTGACGGTGCCTCATGCATGTCAATGAGCCACATACTGTTGATGCTCCTGTACATTTTTGAAACGACTGAATCACAGTAGGCTAGTGTGTTTTTGTTTGATGTCAATGGGCAGTAGCTGGTATGTGCCCGCCGTACTGCATATGAAGCTCGTTCTTTGTACATGAAACAGTAACTGTATATATTGATTTGTTTAACGTCTGTTTCGGTGTCTGGACACTTGACTTTTACAGTCATCTCTTGTATGATTTATACCTTTTGTGACCTGCTGTGTGTTTTTCAGATATGTGTTTTTTTCAAAAAGGTGTAAAGCTGCATAATCTTTTAAAAGCAATTAAAAAATACTTCTGACTCTAAAGATGTTTGTTTTGAATTTCATTTTCATTTTCATGACAAAGAAGCTTGGAGGCTTAATTTTACTTCACTTTAATATTTTGGATCGCAACATACATAAACCGCTCACCAAATTAAAGCTGTGCATATGTAATAACATTTAGGCCTCTCAAAGCCCAACACCACTTTGTAAACAAGCTGTTTTCATCATGCTGGAGAAAATTAGCTAGCATTGTGCCATTAAGGGAAAAACATAGAGGGGCGATTTAACAAGAATCAGGTGGTTTGCAAACCAGTGGAATACATTAGCAATAACTGCAGCTTGGATGCAGGTCTGAAGATCCAGTAAACAGTGAGTCTGCTTCACTGAGAACACACATTCTTTAGTTCTCGTGTGAACGTGTGTGTGCCCCCCATCTGAGAGCACTGCACTTGGCCGCATATTAATTTACCAAAGCTGAAGATAATTATGAATTGGCCTGAAATCAGCATGGGAATTTCCGCATGTCCCTGATGTGGGCCATCCCCCGCTGCTGCCGAGGATGGTACAGTTACAGTAGCTATGAGAAACCTCGAGGCTGTGAAATAGGCAGAGGTGAGGAGGAATGGCTCGGGCTGGCAGCGAAGGATGGAATGTGGTGGGAGGAGTGGATGGCAAAATAAATACAATGTCCAACTGCAAAGAGGCTTTTAATACAGATAACTGCTGAGTGCATAATGCTGAGAGGGGTTTTATTCTTCTCTTTCATTACCAATGTTAGGTGAGGTAGAAAAGTTTGCGCCATTACTTTTTAACTTAACTGTTATTTGGTGATATTTTGCTTCTTTGCTTCTTACATGTTAGACCTGTTGAAACAGGATATTAGTATTGGAGTGAAAGAAGGTCAAACCACATGGAGCCACACGACCAAATACGCTCCTAAAAAGCAGGATGGACGAAGATCAAAGAAGATCACAGTCATAGTCAGAAGCTCTGAGGCTTCAACACATGGAGGGAGGGATGGACACAGTGGGAAGTACAAAAAAATCATAGCATGGGGGAGGATGAACAGTTTTTAATAGTTACTTCAGTCCAGGCGGAAATATCTGTAGAGCAATTTGATGGATTAGCAGTAAAATTGTGTACATTTGTGGTATTCACAGGATGACACCTTCCGGCCATGGCGATTCTTTCTTTTCCTAGATTCACCATGCCATTCACAGTTGTAGCCTATAATGACATTTTGTCAACTATCAGATGAGCTGCTATGACATGGTGATGCTCCTCTCAGGATGCTTTTTAACCATTAGCTCCACAATTAGGTCCAATACTTGTATGTGTATGACTGAATATTTGCAGAATTAAAAACCCTAAATGACCCTTCGCATCAGCTATAATTTGTGTTCCACGCTCATTAGCAAATGTCAACATGCTGACATGCTAAGTTAAGACAGTAAACATGGTAAAATTATATTAGCACAATCATCTGTAAATATAATTTATGTGCATATTTCTTCAAGCAAAAGAAAAATAACAACAATATTAACATGTATTAGTCAACCTTTTCTGAGCAGCCATTTTTATATGAGATCCCACAGGGTTGAGTGTCGAGCACTATCATCTTTCTTTTTTTTAGATTGCTCATGTATGAATAAAAGCCTGCTTAATTTTAATACATTAAATGTTTCAAAATTTTTATCAGTATTAAGATACACCCTGATTTAATCACCCATGTCATAACTCTGCATACTCTTCTTGCACTTTGTACAAAAGCTTGAATAAAAAAAACTAAACGCAACTAACAACTTTAGCAACTTTACACCTGAATAAGTGAAGTAGCACTTTGCCAGCAGATGGGTGTGACGCTGAGTTATACAACAGAGCTGTTAACGCCACATAAAGGAGCGTTAGATCTTTTAGAGAAACTGTTAGCTGCTCAGCAATATTAATATTCATTTAATGCAAATGTGAAACATAATTTATAAGAACGATTTCAAAGATCAGCGACGCTGAGACTGAGACATCAGACAGTAACACAGAAATGCACGATAATACACAGCTGTCAAGGGAAGAGCGTGTTGTGTTTATTATTTTTATTGTTTTGGAAACCGGAGAGCAAACAGAATTTTCAGGATGGGTTCTCCCCCCCAAAAAAATTCAAGTGTAAAACAAACATTTCCATTTTAAGAACAAGAAAATAAAAAGTAAGCAAATGGAGTGTTATTTATATTGCAACAGTTTGAGGCAGTTTTGAAGACAATTGTGCATTCAATACAATTTGAAATGCAAATAAGAATTGACGACAGGACTGCCCCCTAAAAGTTAAGCCAAAATCCTGGTGACTGCAGTATTGGGAATAAATCCTGTCTCAAGTACATGTCAAATAAAAGTTTCTTCTTGACAGTTCTTATCACGCTGATGTTTGTGCAAGTAAGTTTTGTTGTAATTGGTTATTTGATGCTTTAAAAATGGGGTGTAACAGGGTGCTTGGTAGCGTAGTGGGTTGATCCAGCACCCCATGTTTAGAGGCTACAGTCTTCACTGCAGTGGGCCCGCATCGGCCGGCCCCTTACTGCGTGTCATTCCCCTCTCTCTGCCCCCTGCTTCCTGTCTCTCCTTCACTACACTATCATTAAAGGCACAAAAAGCCCAAAAATATACTTTAAAAAAATGGGGTGAAATGTCTGGATTGACCTGAGACTGACTGGAGCACATGTATCAGCTGGACCTCGCCACAATCCCAAATTGCTACTACCCACACTCTGGCTCCAAATATGCAAGATGGGGCCTTTTGTACTCTGGATATTTTAACCTAATTTCTGTATAGTGCATGGAAGTGGAGACACGTCGTCCATATGTCGATCCAGTCTGTTTCTGACCTGCTATGAGATCCCAACAATAAATTTGTGGTGCAGTTTCAGTAAACGTCACCTCTTCAACTTTAAAAATCTACGACAACTTTTTGTAAAACCTGATCTACCTACAAGAGTAAGACATGAGTGATATCATGTCAAACGTGAGGGAATGTGAACTAGAGTTTTTTAAACTAACACTAGCATTATACTGTATGTAATCAGTGTAAACTCAAACACTGACTGTAATACAGACACTTTTTAGCAAATACCTTTAAATGCCTTTAAAAAAGTGCTTTATTTCTGAGTGACAAGCTCTGTCACAGCTAAGATAATTAATATTAAAATGTTCTTTTCTTTTTAATGGACCAATTAAAATAGCTTTTATAGTCATAATTACTCCATTGTGAGAAGTAGCTTAAGATGAATTCAATGGTCCAGTTCCATGACAGACATTGAAATCTTCTCAGATTTCTTTTTTTAATGCTGGTTTGTTGAAATACTGGTAAAATCTTCGACAGTTCTCTCTCTAAGCATAGTTTGTCTCAATTGCTTTGCATAGCCACAAAATCTATAGGTTAATATTTAGACCTATATGCCACATTTTAGTATTTTTGATTTAACTGATCTGAGCCAGTTTGAAGTAATTAATCTTCTTTGGGACATCTATTTCACACTGCTGAAAACAAATGTTAAGAATGGAGATGAGTCATAGCCCAATGCAATCAGTTAGTTCCCACATATAAAAGTTTCATTCTAACAGTTAAACACTGTAAAATGACAACATATTGTGACATTATCAGTGTTGTCTGAGGTGGAAGGCAAAAGAAATACTTTTACTTCATTCAAATTTTCAAACTCTGAAAAAGTTTCTGTACAAGCTCATTCAAATGATAATTTTACTTTTGTGTCGCTTCACAACACGATTCCTATCATCAAGTCCAGTTGTGTCGAGAGCTAATACCTCAGTTTATCGGCTGAGATCAAAGTCGACTGAATTCATCAGCGGTGACTCCCTCCAGCTCAGTGACCTCCCAACAGCACACAAAGAGGTCATGCGATGTGGTTTACTCTCATTAACTTCAATTCTGATGAAACAACACAAAGAAAATGCGTCTTACGTTAATTTAAATACATGATGGCACATTTTTTGACACAAATATAGCGAGGCATGCCCAAGAATAAGAAAAAAACTGAGGAACTCTCACCTCTTTCTTTACATTTGTCACGGCTGATGCTGACGGTGAGGTCGGTGGACTGAATTAGAAGTGAAAAGAAACAAACAAATCAATTTATGGTGTTGATGCTGTATTTGCATGTTGGTATTATACCAATAAACAGTCCTATAACAATTTGTAGATGTGGGACAACAATCACTAAAGCCACAATCAGCAGAGGTCACAGCCTCCTTCATTTGTACACATTCATGTAAACTGGATCCAAAACTGACCAAAGACATTAAAACAAACAAAGAGACTTTCTTTGATAAAACTTCCACAAAATTCTCCTACTCCTTTACAGTCTCCCCCGCTGAACTTGTATTGTGTCAGACATGTCCATTGGACAGGGGCAATATTACATCATGAGTAGCATCAGCCAAAATGGGCCTAATGTGCAACCACTCAGTGTCTGTGTGTCTTTTTAGATATTTCTCTGTAGAAATATGTGTGGAAAAATCCAAGAGCAGAGGAGAAATAACAAGAGCACACATTTCACCAGCATGTGAGGAGAAGAGCTACAGCTGAGTGTTGCACATCTGTCTAGGCAGGAAGCGCAAAATATCTGAATGTAAGCAGTTTGAGAAGCAGAAGAAATCTAAGAAGAGAAACTTTATTTGTCTCTGTCTCGCACACGCACGCACACGCACGCACACACACACACACACACACACACACACACWCACACACACACACACACACACACACACACACACACACACACACACACACACACACACTATACAGTGATAAGCACTAAACATTGTAGAGCATTGTGGAGTTAACTCTTTATAGTGATATTATTACTAATTAACAACTATTACACAGACATATCTCATAGGTTTAATATTAAACTGGAGCAAAGAAAAATAAAATGTTTTTACATACCTGCCTACCTGCCTGGACGCATTCTCAAAAAACTTTGTTTTAGAGGCAACGCTGCAAAAAAGGAAAAAAAAAAAACTTGTTAGTGTTGTAGATAAACATATGATTCGTCTTGTGTTTCAATCATTTGTGATCCAACAGTCAGCTGTGCTTTTTTTATGCCCACCAGTTTTTTGGGTGATACATTTGTGGGATACTTCTCTACAGCAGCTCTGAAAGCGGAGCATTCATTGTAAACTTCTGCATGTTCATACCTAACAGTATGCAGAAACAAGTGGCCGCACAGAGGAGCACTTACTAGGACGTGGCAGAGCTCTCGCTGCTGGCTGCACTTTGGGGCTTTTGTGGAGCAGGCAGTCTGGAGGGGGGCTCAGGAGGCCTCACTGGGGGTCTGCAAATGGCAGATTTCTCTGCAGACTTCGTTCTGGTCAGACCATCAGAATCTCCTGCAAAACAAAGACAATGCCCAAGCTTCATGTGACGATGCACGGTCACATGCAGAAATTAGAGAATTAAATCTCACTATGTTCAACAGATTCTCTGTCTGCTGTTTGGTACAGATCAGGGAGTGTTGATGGTGATTACAGCCTTTTTTCTGAAATCCTCTGAAATCTGTTGCTGCTGCTGGAAACATGTTACTGAGTGTGGTGGCGACAGTGAAGTGAAACTGTCTCTTTTCAGGCTGTAAGACAACAAGAGTGAGCTAAAGATGCTCACTGCTTCAGCATTCACTTGAAGTTATAGGTTAATCACCTACAAATAAAGTGATATATTGGAGGGCTGAAGTCTACAATACGAAAACATAACCTCCTTGGCAGAGATAATGAGCAAAGACTTTGGATCTGCAATGTAATAGTGAGTGGTTCATCATCCACCATAAACTGTAACATTTACTTTCACATTTTATAATTCTGTAGATGATCTCCTTCTTAGTGACACTGTTTGGGTTGAATAATATTCAGCTTGAAGTCTTTATTCTTTTAGAAACCAACTAACTAATTAAAAGGTGCAGAACCAACTACCTTTACATTTGTTGAGCAAACATCGGGAGCAGCTGGACGTGTTTTAGTTACTACCACAACTAAAACAACAAACAGCAACAATCAAGTACAAATGAATGATTTTGGATGGCAAAATGTGTTGATGAAGCGAGAATGACACAATTATGTTTTGTTTGACCGATAAATCACTTACCAAATTTAAGTTATTATTATTATGATTCTAGATGTGGGCAAACTCATCTGCATATAAGCGAGTAAGTAAGCTTTAAGGCATTTTCAGCTACATACACACAGAGGGTTCCTCATACCTTCTTTGTTGGCTGACGTGCCCTTCGCAGATGGTCTCCTGCTCTGGAAAGATGGTACCCGGCTCACGTAGACTCCAGATTCCCCGTTTGCCACAGAGGAGTCAGGCCTTTGCCTCGTATCGTCTACCTTCCCAACGTCAGAGTCTGGTTGTCTCTCCTGGCGGGTCGATGGCCGGGGCATCAGTGGCACTCTCGGAGGAGGGTCTTTTGGCATCAGCGGAGTATAGCTTACAGGTTTTGTCCGTTGGAGGGGGATGGGGCTCACCAAGACGTCTGCTGCGGAGCTGACTTCCTGACCATCTGTTAGAAAGAAACCACATAACAATTATGCATGGTTGGGACCGGTTACAGTGGAGCTCAGCATTGAGACAAGTAATGAATAAGTCTGTCAATGTGCAAGATTAAAACAGGAAAAAAAATACAGTGATCTGGTAATCCAACTACTGAGTCAGCACATCACTGATTTAAGATGACAGAAAATATTAGTTAAAGAATTCACCACTCACACACCAAACTCCGGATTGATCATACAGAGGCAATTATTTGGCTTAACCAAGGAGCAAGTTAAAAAGAGTTAAATATCACACCACACAGGGAGGACAAGCTGCAGGTGCTGCACATTTCTCTGCCACAGTGTATGAGATGATGGAGTCACACCCACTTAAAGAGCACTTCAAACCCAAGGAAAATTACATGATTTAGTCTGAGGCATTTAAATAAAAGACTATGTGAGATATAAAATGTAGAGAAGATAAGTTTATTTGAAATAGATAAAAGCACATGAGGATTTTACTATCAACAATCAAGGGTAAAGCAAAAGAAAATGAGTAGATTTAGTTCGACAGGCAGATAAAAACCTCTACTATGTAAATATGTTATAACTGTATGGAGTATTTTATGGACACACAACAGTAAAGCACAGTTTTTTGTTTTTTTTACTCCTGGAGAAATGGGCCTACAGTTATCTACTATATCTTCAGCACAGACCGAATGAGATAATGATGAGGATGACAGCCACAATCAGGCCCCAAGGAGGGAGGCTAATAATTACTCTCAGTGTTCTGGAAGTGGTCGTGACTAAGCGGTTGATAAACACGAGGTGGCCGCTTGGAGATTGTGATGGGCTGCCGCTTTCTCGGGGTGATCCGTGGAGGAGGGACAGGCGGGGCGGTGCTGTCCTCTGGCATATTACTGAAGATCTGTAATCACAAGAGTAAAGAGGTTACAGGCACACTTGAGTTCAGCAGCTTGTGTTTCACATACATGCAGCCTATGATAGCTGTTAAATAAATGAAATGATATTTTGAAAAAGATTGAGACCGTACCTTTTTGTAGTCCTCAATCAGGATCTCAACGACAATGTTTTGGAACTTGATATCCAACATGGCCGCGACAGTCTCCTCCTTCGCCCTCATCAGCGTGGGTCCAAAGATGACGGCCATGTTAGAAGAAGTCATGAGGTTTTCATCGCTGTGGCTGCACACACTGTCAACAAATATAAAGCTGGGCTGGATAAAATGTAACCAAGCAGTCGGCCCAGGCAGTGACACATTAACTCAGAGGACCTCTGTGAGTGGTAGAAACAGTAAATGACAACAAAGCCCAGGGGCGGCACTCACGTCACCAAGTGTTTGATTAGCATCTCCAGCATCTCATGATTCTTCTCTGGTAGTTTGTGGGTAAGAGAATGAATTTCACTCAGTCGAAAGTCCAGATTATCTGACTCTGTGACAAAGAAAACACAAAGTTTACAAAAGGGTGAACCTTGAATATGTAAAGATAAATATGTCAATAAATGATACAAATATAAACATGAAGGAGGATGCAGACGTCCACTGTAATGGAACTAGACTAATAAAACCAAGTGTCCATAACAAAGTCAGGCTCCCATTAATTTAATGAACAGAATTTCCAGGAAACTGAGGCCACCGGTTGTGTAAAGGACCACCTGTAACATCCCAGCGAAATGAGGCTGATGCTATTAAACTCACTGTCGTCTCTGTTTAACAGCGAAGTGGCGTGACAGACAAAAACAAACAGTGGGCTTAGATTTCCTTTAGTGTCCACAGTGATATAATCCTGCCTGAAGACCTGCTGAACCTACAGTCTGCACAGCACTGACATACTGTGTTATACCTCGAATCCAAGTCTCTTCAAGGCAGTGCTTACAGTTTTCAATTATTACATTACATGTCATTTAGCTTTTATCTTACAATTAGTGCATTCAACATCTATGAGGGGCCATTTAGGGGTTCATTATCCTGTCTAAGGACACTTCGGCATGCAGATGGGGAAGAATGAGGATTGAACTGCCAACCTTCTGGTGATACTGAACACTTAAATTAGTTTTTTGAGCTGTGAACTAAATTATGTGAATGTCCTTTGGTGAAATACATCAATTAATATCGTATTTTTTATGGCTCACTCAGTGTTGTCCATCTTGGACATTGCTGGGTCAATGCTTACACAGAGTCAACTGACGTCCCTGCATCATGACATTTATGCATATTTGACTATATTAACAAAATCTAATTTCAAATCATTCTCATTTCGCTGCTGAACCTAAACCCTTAAAGCACAACGCTGGATGAAACAGCTGCCTATACTGACAGTCTTCATATGACGTTTCTGTCTTAAACGTGTGTCTGCTGCTGCTACTGGAGTGGTCGCTCATGGGGAGACAATGTGGATAACTTTGTTATTGTGGGTTGGTGTGTGTGGTAGCCATGGAGAAACATTTAACCCAAAACAGAGAAGAAGTTACACTTTAAAGTAAGAATAAAGAAGACATACTGTCCAAACTATCTGAAAAGATTTTCTAGAATTCACACAAAGCAAAGGAGAAGTTTTTTCTCTGCATGAATGCATAGCAAAGTTCTAACCTTCCTCACGTCTGTGACATCTAAACAGAGGATGTAGTTGAACACATTTACACATTAACAAAGACATTAGATATTTAAGTGGTAGATCTACAGATGCTCCAAGAGGAGAATTTATAGAGTGGGCAGAGATATTAACACAACCTTAGTTGATTTTAGCACTGGATGATTTCCAAAACATGTCTTACTTGCAGCACACATGAGGTCCCTGTGTCGACCGTAGGTCATCAGAGGTTCAGACAGACTCCTGCACATTAAATAAATAAAGAAACATGAGAACACATCTGGTACAACTCACCACATGAAACACAAAACAAAGCTAAAAGGTCTACACTCACTTATTACACTATTACACTAGAAAGCACTTAGAAATCGAAACCTCTGTCAAAGCTGCATTTGTTATTCTAATGTTGGAGCACTGTGCAACAATGAAATCTACAAAATTTCAGGCAAGTTAGACTAATAACCAATTGTACGCATTCAATATTTGTTTAACTATGATAGGATTATATTTTCATTCATTCATAATTAAAAGCATTTTAATGATAAAGAAAGAAAAATCAGTTTTGATAATTACAACAATTTTGAAAAACAAAAGCTGTCTATTAAGAATGATAGTGTATTTACAAAAACATCTATTAGATGTGTCTATTTATACACCACCATTTATACCCACCTGAGGTAAAACTTCAATGCACTCGTGATGGTTTTAACATCCAAGTCGCTGCTGTGAAGGTCCACATCAGCTGGATTTGTGGGGTCTATGAAGGAGCCAATCAGAACAAACAAGTACCAAATATTGAACACGGCTTAAACCAAATCTCATGTAAAATCTGAAAACCACCTGTGACCAGTAGCTTGAATTATAAAAGACATTAGATATGGCTGTGACATAAGGTAGCTCTGATTAAATTATGATTACAGATATGCAACGTGAGGCCAAGAAGTAAATAAACGGTTAAATCAGATTGTCAGAGAAAAAGCACAGGAAATAAAAAAAAATAATCAAATGAATGAAGGCTGAAATCCATTGAGCTGCTTCACTTTCAGGGATCAGGTGTTATTCATACTCATTGCCTCCAGCAAGGGGATTGTTTACACCCCTGTCCGATTTATTTGTTGGTTGGTTGGTTTGCTGGTTTGTCAGCAGGATTAAGCAAAAGCTACTGGGCAAATTTCCACATGGCTGAAGGATATGATATAGGTCAGGGAAAAAGTGACTTCTGCAAAAAAGAAGTGACGGATCTGGGAATTTGTAAGAGGGTATATCTCGACAGTGTGTCACTTATTATAAGACGATCAATCTTGATTTAAAAGATTAACGGAGCTGATTTCCGTGAGTGTGAGCAATTTGGTGCAGATCCAAGGAAAATCTGGATTTAGCAGATTTAAATGTGGTTTCATAAGGGAACTGTTGGGCCTTGGCGGAGGTATGCCCACTGCTACTTGATGTTGTTTGTGCATTTACAAGTATATGAAAAGTCAACATGTCCGTGTGCTATGGATGAGAATCCCTAAAGATGTAAATCTATTCAACAAACAGAAGTTTAACCTGCAGTAAAAGCCAACTCTGACATGTTAGCACCATCCAGGAGATATGCAACAGCTTTACAGCTCATTTGTAGTCATGTTTGTGTCCACGGGACACATCTCAATCTATTCATCAGTCCCTTTAGGTGCTAAATGCTCCACTCATAAACAGCAGCCAGCAATAAAAAAATAATACTTTAAGTGATGAGCCGAAAAATTTAAACAATGAGCTGAGAGATGCTGTAAAGCTCTTGAGAGCTAAAAGGCACATGGAGCCGAGTCACAGTTCTCTTTTATATTTAGTTTAGCTTTTTCATGCATCCTTATCTGAAAAATATATAATTTATAACCACTTGGAGAATCAGAGCCCCTCCAGAGCAGGTGTACTGAGAGCGAGAGGCCGGCCCCCTCGTCAGTTTTACATCCAAAGTTCCCAAAAAGCTACAGAACCCGTAATGTAGCAGTCAGGTAGATGAGCCAGTCGAGGAGAATAAAGCAGATTGACTGATGTTCACAGGCTTATTTCCTTACCAAAGAAGGCATTTAAGAGCTTCTGCACTTGAATGTTGCTGCCAACTGTTCGGTACACTCCTTCTTGTGTCACTCCTGGAAAGAGGAGAGGAGAAGGGGGGAGTTAAGAAAAAAAAAAGGCAGTGTGATCTGGACAAATACAGATCTGTGGAAAAGTACCACATGCGTCTTTTCAGAGTCTGCATGAGCCTCAATTAAGATATAGATGCTCTTTCCTGATTATCAACGCTTCATTTCACTATTTGGTTTGAGACCGAACAATGCTCCAACGCTGGGATCATGTGTCAAATTACACGGTCATGGTTTGAGCAATTAATTCCATTCTCTGCTAGATTAATCCCAGTACTGGAAAAACATATTGTGACTGTAAAATTATGACGCTACATCTGCTTTCAAGATGGAGTTGAGATATTCAGTTTGTAGCATACACTGAGAAAATGCATGAAATCAAGGGAAAGATCGTTATTTAAAAAAAAACAGACAAACAAATCTTAAAGGACCTTCTCATCATGAACAAAGGATAAAGATATGATGATTTAAAATCTGACCAATAATAAATAGACCGTATGTCTGATATTTAGACGTCTACAATTGGATTGAGGGGATGTTTTGTTCCTGAGAGCAGCCTGCAGGAGTGGCATCAAAATGACTAATCCATGACTCAACTACGCCCCCTTCAGGGAATAGAGGCAAACTAAGTGAGCGCCATGCTGCAGAGAAAAGCCACTAATAGGAACCATTACCTTTTGATTCAATATAGTTGATGCACTTTCGCACAAATTTGAATCCAGTTTCATTCAGCTCCACTGTGACATAAACAAAGACAAAGAAAATGAGCAAAGAGGGGTTTTCAAACATTACTTCTGATTGTTGAAACGTGAATTTTTCAGTGACATCAGATGTAAACTAAAGACACGAGACATCATTGTGTCTGTCTGCATCGACATCCCATCTTCAGACTGAGAAAAGATACTTACTTTCAGCTTGCTTGTGAATTGGGGAGTGATAGATCTGAAATGAAAAAAATGTAAAAAGGAAAGTGAAGAATGTGGAGCATGTGGAAAAATCCACCAGAGCCGGATTAATGAACGCTACTTTCTTCAAACTGAAAATGACACCAAAAAAAAAAAAGACTTGATGGTGATACAAGAGCACATAACTGCCTCCAGGACACAGTGAAAGATTCCAGGAGAAGTGAGGGGAAAGATTTTCACCAGATTTTGAGTTAAAGTTTAAAAAAAGACTTAAATAACATGTAAATAATAATAATGCAAAAAGAAAGGAAATGGGACGAGTGTGTTAAGTAAAAAAAGAAAGAATTCCTGCATGAAAAACAAACAAATGCAAAGTGACTAAATGCATAGTCTGTAATCACATCTGTCAGATTTTCTACCCTAAATAACTTTTTGTTCTTCTCCACCAATGAAGGTCGGAGGTCAGGGACAACTACAGAGCAGCTGCAGACCACACTTCAGTTGAGGAGTGAAGAACCAGCGTTAAATTATTCTGACTCTCAAGGCAAAGCAAGTGTATTTGTAAAGTTTGTCTACAAGGGCTGCATGTAAAAGTTATTTTCAATATCGAATGAGCTTCAGATAATTTCCCTGAAAAGTTGCTTGGTTAATTAAATCTAAAAAACATGTGACACATGACTTTTGATAAATGTATATCAATCTTTCAAAACAAATTATTTTAACCACAATTGTCCTCTCCATGTATGATGACGGGGACAATAAAACTTTTGTAAAAGTGGATGTAAAAACTCCACACAGAGCAGATTCTCATCCACACTGAAGTGTCAGAGACCTGCAGACTCGGTGGTAGAACACCACAGTGGATATTTGCTTGAGAATATTTGAATAACGAAGCAGTTGGAAAAGTTATTATGAAATGTTCATCATATGCAGAAGTCTTTGAGGAAGTTGCACAAGAGGAGGGCACTGAAAATTGTGCCTTCTGTTATTTTCACATCCTCTAATAGCGACTGTTTGTGTTTATGTGTCCACACCTCATCAAACCAACATCCGCCATCAAACCACAAAGAGAACTGACAGAGCATGACTGTAAGCAAAACAGTGCTTAGAGCTGAAATCAAGAATTAAACCTCTCAATGCAGAGACAGAGCATGGGAGCAGGAGGGTTTGACAGATCCACAAGTTTGCAGTTTCTACAAGGAGATTTCTATAAACACCCACACATGATTTTAAGATTTAAACTGTGAATTACGAAAAGCCAGGAACCATAATTTAGACACACACTGATGAATTAATGAGCCATAATGAGGTCACTCGCACCTATCACCCGAAGTGCTTAACAGCTTTCAAACATGAGCTGTCACTTTTACAATTGTTTATTAATTAATTAATATGCTCAGCTATCATTTGTTCCTGTTTTTTCTCTCCAGGGTTTAATGGATTCATCTTGTGAAGATAAAACACTGTTAATTAGGTGCGATCCAATCAGGGAGCTGTAAATGACATGCATTTCAATAATAACAATTGCAGCCTCTAACAAAAATAGTTGTGATTGTAAAGTGATGTTGGGAGTTAAATTGGTGAGCCCAGTTGCTACATTGCTTTGCAGTATTTTGACAGTAAAGCACAAAAAAACATCCTTAATATAAGAATAAATAAGATGCGAAATAAACTCACAGGCTCTTTTCCATCCATGGCCTCCATCCACATCTTCCTGTCCCCCTCCGAGAGAGCCTGGAAAGTAACGGGCGTGCTTCTATGGAGGTACAGGTAACAAAAACACCATTAAGGAGGGAAAGGTTGCAGTGATTTTTTTCAGTCACAGGATGCACTGCTGCAGGCCGTAACCACTGTGAATATTGCTCCTCTATTTTTCAACCTGTGCGTGTCATGAATCACACACACGTTTTACAGGGTGGACACCACAGAAAGAAGGACTGAGTACGTGTTTGATGGAAGAGATCATCTCCTGTGTGGTGCTGATGGAAGCAGGAGATAAATAAGACAGAGCATGAAGAGATGATGAAAATCCACTGATGCAATCTGTCGACAAGTGAAAGCAACAAAATCAGGAGCCAAATTTTACAGCTTGTAGGCAACTGAATCAATTGTTAACAAAAACAACTGTGCGAGTTTAAAGCTATTTCTGCCAACCTGTAAGTATGAAGACACAATTAAAAACCTTTACGAAGTTTTATAACATAACTTTTCTGTCATGTATTCGTTTGTGCAAACATGGATTAAGATAATTTAATTATATATTTCTTGCTCAAGACCAAAGGTGATGGGGCCTGAAAACATATAACAAACATTCAAACATTTTACTCTATGGCTTTTTTTTTTGCTACTACTTATGTTTCTTGTATACTTTTCTTTTTGATGTATAATTGTGTCTGCTCTCTTTTAATTTGAAATGACATTGCCTTATTTAGAGTATAGAGTTAGGGGTTACACGGGTTTGTAAAGTAAGAGACATCACTATTCATGCTTGTCTTCTGAGGTCAACGGTCAGGGTCAAGTACTAGAATTGGTACACCGACATTATCTTCTACACTACTCTACTCTTCTACTCTTATCTTATTTTATGAAACTTGCATGTTGAGTTGCTTGAGGTGCCTGGGATTTAAGATTTTCATTGCCAACATGTACGCTGTATCTGTTGTGCAGATGACAATAAAACCTTTGAAACAGTGCCACCACCTTGAGTTTCAAACAGTCGTCTAGTCATTATGTTGTTCAGATTCACATGCAAAGACACTTTGCAAGCTCTTAATGCATAATTCAAGCAGCTTTTAAACTTTTTAAAAACACCCTGCTGACACTCCAACTCAGACACAAGGAAGTGTCTCTTAAAATGCATATAGTACTGAATGGTCCGCTTATACAAATATGAGCTGTTCCTTCCCCCTGAAATCACAGGGTTTGCCATCTGTTTGCAGCATGCGCCTGTTGCTTAGGGATTGTTTGGGCTACGGTCCATTTATCCCTCACACTCTGTCCTTGTAAACCACCTGTTCACCCCACCGCACCAACCTGTTTATCCCACAGGGCTTTCCTGTTGCCTCATCTCACACACTCTGTCAGATTTGTTTTTTGTGCTAACCTCTCGTTAGTTTCCACGTCAAAGCAAAAGCGCTTGTCTATGGACTCCGTCTTCCGGCGGATGCAAGACTTCAGTGTCAGCTGCGTGGGGCCCTGCGGGGAAAAAGGGGAAAGTTGGAGAGGTGCTGCAACCAGCATCACCACAGGCCAAACAAATGGCCAATTCCAAACAGGCAGGTTTAGAGCCGACCCTGCATAAGTATACATACAATACAGCACTCATTTTCAAAAAGCACCTGTTTAGTTGTAGGCTTCTGTTCACAAGGTACCATGACCAGCAGTCTTCCCTCCTTGTAAAACTTGCAATAATATTTCACCCACGTCATCCCCAAAGCCCCTGTGAGGAGAAATAACAAAACAAGAAGGATAATGTAAGAGGGAATCTAGCAAAAGGAAAAACACGCCTCTGTGTTGTAGAACATGTACTTACATTTCTCCTGACACTGAAGATAACCCTCCATTGGCAGAAAATTGTGCATTTTACAGATCTGCGACGGCTGCTTCATTCTCTTCATCAGCTCCTCCATCTCCTCACGAGTGCTCTCATAGTTGTTTCTCGTCTGCAGCCAAAACCAGACAGCACACAGAAAACTCGCCAGATTGAAGGGTATTAAATCTCATCGCTGGCATTGCTTTCTGCCAGTAACAACACTTACATTCTGCAAGCTGAGCTGCAGCTCCTGCTTATATGGCATGAAGTCCTGAGTCATCTCCACTGTCAGGTTGTTGAGTGTTAAAATGCTGTGAAGAAACGCCAGCACCTGTCCAACCAAAGCATGGAGTACATACTTTACTAAACTATAACAGCAGTCAGAGCAGCAGAGGATTCATTCTGATAAAGGAATGGATGAGTGATGATCAAGAACTTTTTTCTTTCCTACGTTTGCAGTATATTTCCTCACTCACCGGCTCTACCACATCAAACTTCTTCCTGTCCTGCACCTGATGGATCTGGTACACGTACTCCACTGACGATTCATAGAAGTTCACTCGCTCTTTGTCCAACAGTTCATCAGCCTGCAGTGGACAAAAGAAGGTCATTTCAGTCAGCGGCTCTCAGTTCTACATTTTATGACATGATTGAAAAAAATGTGCTGTATATTTCACCCGACCTCTTGAAGTTGACTCTCTTTCTTCTTGGCAGAGAGATTCAGGTGTTTGTCTAGCTGAGAGTAATATTTTTCACTCTCTTTCTCAAACTTCTTTTTCTTTTCCTGAAAGACACATGTTGGGAAGATTAGAAACATTTTCATTTGATTAAAAAAACATTTTTAACATAGTATAAAGATAAACTTAACTTCATCCTGTCCTCTAATCCTGACTTCCTCTTAAGAACTGTTACTATAAAGATTTTGGTTGATTACAATATTTGAGACAAAGCTATTAGCTGCCTGCTGAGATTCTGCAGTTGAAAAAAAAAAATTTTCAGCGCTCTCAAGTGGACAAAGTATGTAATGGAGACACTGTTTTTGTAAATTATGAATAAACTATGATTTGTTTTAAATGATACAGATCCAATGACTGAGTCGGTTTGTGACACATNCAGACTTAAATATATAAAATAAAAATACGGATAAACAGTTTTACATTTTATTTAAATGGTAACAACAAAAACTTAAAGTAAATAAATGGCTGAAATAAGTTGCCATTCCAAGTGAAAGTGTAACAAACTTGAATCAACCAAACTTAAAATAGTCTAACTAAAAAGAATCCGCAAAAAATAATGTGTGGCTTAAGAGGCAAAAACATGAGACTCCTCCTCAACTTTACACAGCATGTGACATAACACGTCTTGTCAAAGAGGAAGAAGACGACATCTTTTTGTTTGTTAACCAGGTTAACAAAAAACAGATTTGGGGAAATTGCTTCTGACATCCTGTTCAGTCTATAACTCGGTTCAGAAAAGTTTGACATTCAGTTACACAGAAACACTTCAAACTATGAACCCACTGGAGCAGAGCAGAGTTTCCAGTGCCAACTCAAGACTTGACTTCTATTATTCAGGATAATGAGCCCAGTTTCACCTGGAATCATAGAAACACTCACTTTAGTTACTCCTATTTGCTCTTTTCTGAACTTCTCCAGTGGCTTGATGAGAAGATCGGAGGCGTTCTGCACCTGGACAAGTAAATATGAAGAGGCTGTTACTTAGGTGCAGGTCATACAAGACACAGATGGGGGACACACCTTTTCCCCAAGATGTCCCCAAAGAACAGATTTTTGCTCTGAAAATTATCCCCGAAAACAGCCTATGACAAACGCACACTTATTCTTCTATCTTCATCATAGACAAAATGAATTCACTAACCTAAACCTAATTCAAACCACAACACTAAAACCAAATATTAAGCCTCCAATGACCTTTAATTAACATGTGTAGAACACGCTCTCAAACAGACTGTCTGTAGATTAAGTGTTACATGAGGAACATGTCAAAGAATTTGGAAATAAACATTAAATTTATTTAATTTAGGTATGAATATGTATTTCCTCCTCTCAGAAGCACAATTTACCAGATGACCTTGTGTCTTATAATTAGATCTGCATCCAGAAAAACCTGTTTAATAGGAGCTGCTGCTCCTTATGTCTCCACTGCTGAATTGTGAGGACAAGACTAAGATTGTGGCTTAAGTTCAAGTTACATGGAAAAACAACAAAGAAAACATTTACCGTGTAGTCAATGCTATTCCAACACAACCACATTAGAGAATGAAACATTTAGAGTTATATACATTATAGTATAAATAAAGCAGAAATGATACAAACAAAAACCGTTCGCAAAAAGGAACATGAAAACCAAAAGAGGAACTAACAAAATCATTACCAGCATTCACCTTAATAAGAACACAGACTTACACCAACATAATGTAAACTGGGGTGATTATATTTTTCAATCAACACGGACAAATGGAATATCTGCTGTGCAAAGAAACACAAACAAACAGAACATTTGTTTGCCAGTTGTTGTGCCGAAATGTCCTTCCAAGTGGTCTAAAGGGGACTGTGGGTGATCTCAACGTGGTTTGGTTGATCTAATGAGGTTTCAATAGGATGCAGAGTCAACATGGAGGAAACCGATAACCCACCAGCATCATCCTGTCGTGCTCCACTTCCTGCAGGAGACCAGCAAACTCATGGAACGACTCGGCTGTAGGAGAAAACAATAAAGATGCTGAGGACCAGAATGAAGACATTGTTATCTCAAGTATCTGAAGCAGGAAACACTGTCAATTTGGAAAATGTCCAGCAATAACATGTGATTGTGATAAGGCTGAAGTTTCTGTTTTTCCAAACCACTTAGTTTCCTGATTCCTCACATTAAAGTTAAGGAATCATCACTCGGCTGCCAAAAATGTTTTTAACAGCTGATTCTGATGTAAAACTCTTTTCACTCTCTAATAACAAATCGAAAGTATTCCTGACTATGCCTCTGCTCCGAGAGTGATAAAAAAATCCAGGTTCTCTAAAAGTCAGTTCATGTCATAATTTGAAAAGTTAATAACATCTGTGTTTTTATTATTAACGTGTCTGTAGGAGCTTACCGATGTTGATCTCATCGTCAGTCAGAGAGTCACCGATGAAGTCGAGCTGGAACATGCCAAGAGTCTGAGAAAACCTCTGCACTGCCACAGAATAACCTATAAAATAAAAAATAAACAAGATGAAGTCTTTTTGAGATCAACTGACTGGAGCTCCACAGGCCTCAGTCACAACATTTAACAGTAACGTACAAATCTTTATCGTTCTTTACATCCACCTCAGCTCTCAAAATAAAGAGCAGTCCAGGATTATTATAACTGTGCATTTTTCTTTTTATCTCTGGTAGGAAAGTCTGAAGTCTGAACGACATCCTTGGCAGCACTGAGCAGCAGCAGCAGCAGCAGCCAGTGTGCGGCCGACACAATATATTGCCCCTGCTACGTCTGGCTTTTATTACTAAAACAAAACAGATTCCGTCAGATGAGTACTGTGGATCACTTTGCCTGAGGAAAATCTACTCTCATATTTGAAATCCTTCTCCTAGCAAGGATCCTTTTTATCCAATCATTCAACTGTTACACGTTTTTTCCATCAACAAATTGTGTTTTCTGTTAAATGACTTTGTCCCCATCATCCTGTGTTGAGAGAGCGAATGAGACATTCATGAGTATCTGTTAGTGCAGTTTATCCCAACAATAAGTGCTCGTGACCTCAGGCTATTATCCACACTGAATACAGGACCCTCACCCCTCTGCAGCACCTACAATGACAGTTTGTTTCCGAGGGGAAAGCGTGTGATTGGTTATTAAGGCAGCAGAGGGGACAGAATCTTGGCCAGTCACACAAAACATACAGAGATCTCCCTCATGAGTAGTGCCACACTGACCCACATCTACACATCTGGTCCCTACTCTCAGTGGGACTGCGGCCCAGAACCAACAGCAGAGATATGACACACAGAGGAAAGGGGGGGGGGGACACATAGGAAGGTATGGTTACTGAAGGGGGAAACAGCTGTTGTGGTGCCTCCTGCACATCTGCATCAGTCTGTTTGGCCTGATCCCAGGGGAGCACTACTGGCACCTCCCTGAATGAGCCTCTCCACCTCCCACATGGACTCATACAAAGGGCCCACTGATGCTGACCCCCCATCACACCACTACATCCACTCTGTGTGCAAAACAAGCTGCTGCTCATATTCAAAAACGAAGTCATGTCGGGTGTAAGCTCGCTCACCTCGGATCGCAGTGATGACACTGTTGCCATCTTTGATCAGCTCTTTGAGGGACTTGCTGGTCCTCTCCAGCTCCACCTCGTAACACTTGAGGGTCTCTCTGAAGTCCGGACTGTCCAGGTAGCAGTCACTGAACTCCAGGGGAGGATGCCCCATCTTCTTCTTCTTCTTGATCTTCTTCTTGTGCTTCTTCTTCTGTGTGTGACAGACAATCAGAGTCACTGAGGTTGTGTCGGTGATCCCAGCAGCCTACGCTCCTCTGCTCATTGCTGCTCTGTGGAGGCGCCTCCTCTGTCCCATCTGTTCAGGAGGGCAGCAGCCATGGTGTCCGTGGGAGCCTGAGGGAGCCGCTGGTCCGGAGTGGAGTGAAGGAAACACAGAAGAGGAACACTTCACTTTCACTTCTCTGTTTCCTTCGCCTGACGCGCTGGTTCGACTTTATTATGACCGGAGCCTGCGCCTCTTTTCCACTTTTCCTTGTTGCTCGAGTCGTAACTAAAGAAAGGCGGCCTGAAGCCGTGTGGACGCGTTCCATTCAAAAGCGTTTCCCCCTCTCATGAGTCCTCCTTCTGTCCTTCACCTCGGTTTGACTTGATAATAAGCTACCTTATGAAATCATCCCCTCCTGACTCAACAATCAAATAGTCTTTTAAACAGTATGACTAACTAAAATAGAAAGGGGACACAAATCAAGCCGCAAATATTCGCAAAGAGTGTAGCATTAAGCTAAATTGAACGTATCCAACTGGCTACAGACGCAAAAAGAACTCCCCCTTTCCCACACCCAGGATGTTCTTAAAGGGGCCGCGGCACAGGGGCGGCAATTGTATTAATAACGCTGCCTTCAAGTGCTGGAGGAAATCTTACCACAACGCCTTGTGCTCTCATATATCTACCAAAACAAATCGGTAATTACGACTGGGGAGGCTGTAAAGATAGATCTGAGTCTACTACACTGAATTTGATCTTCATTTTTCTCTTAAAATAATCTCGGCTTTTAGTAAGTTATTAAGTAAAACCGTATATACAGTCTATGAGTAAAACTTAAGGAACATGCTTTTGGTTGAACAACTATGCATGCAAGCTCTAGATACACATATCAAGACAGTGAAAGATGTTCAAACAAGAATCGATAGAAGAAAAGATTTGGGTGAATTAATTAGAACCCGGATTATAAAATAGGTTTTGATCAGTTTTTTAAACATGTTGACAGGGGATGCATTTTTTATTATACTCATTCGCTCATTCTCAACGTTGATCTTCTGCTTGAGAACACTGAATCTAGAGGGTCTTCATGAGGAATTATCCTGTACTTGTTTTTGTACCTATACTAGATTTTAAGATCATACGGTGGTTGTGTGACTGATGAGTCATGTGGGGTGACTTGTACACTTCACTTCTGTCAAACTGGTTGGTCTTTGTTGACAGTCTGATTTATTCATGTCTCTATACATACCGTACATGGTGTGTTAGTTGTACTGATTTTGCCATTTTTCACTGTGCAGCTTTGCTCAGTTTCTTTAAAACTTCTTTCTTTAAAGCCTCTTTTTCTTTTTTATTAATATGAAGGAAGAACAACTGGCCCAAAAGTTAGCCATATCATGCACCTGCACAGACAAATGCAGCAAATGTAGACGTGTGAATGTGTCATGAGACCCATGTGACTGTTCCACAGTGGGAAAGGATACACCTTTGTGTGACTGGGTGTGTTGCTGCATTCAAGTTTAAGTTGGTTAACCTGAACAGAGGCTCAGCGTGTGCAAGCATGGAAGTTACAGGAAGAGTGACACTAGTAGTGGTCAGCAAAAACACCATTGGTTCAAAGTATCGTGCCATGTTGGGAAAATGAAAGAAAAAACAAAATATGCTTGTATGAAAACTGACTTGATTACATTTCAATCACTGTTTGATGTTGAACCTTGTGACTGTCACTATGTTATCCAATCTGGAGACATGTTGCCTTCCTGGGAGATCTGTTCTGAGATGTGGCATTCCAGTAAATTCCTCTCTACTGCAGTCGTCACTGTTTTACTGCAGTAACTGTTAATGACCTACAGATGTCATCCTTCAGTCTGAATTGAAGAAGCAGTTACCCTGCAAACCATAGACTGTTTATAAAGATGGATGAAATGAGGGCTCCACAATAGTGCAGCCAAATCGACTTGAACACCCCTGGTGGCTAGCTGCAATAAAGGCCATACATCCTCTAGGTTAGTGGATGGGGCATGGGTCAAACTCTATAATCAAAGTTCACGTCATATATATTTTTCTCTGTTATGTTTTCCATAATTTTAGTTATTGTCACACCGATGCAGATTACACTCTTTGTAGCTGACGATATTATTTTGTTTAAATTGAGCCACCTGCTGGTTAATAAAGGTGACGTCCCACAAGGATCAATACTGGGCCCCCTGCCATTCACTTATCATATCTTTCAACTTCCAATGTCTCTTTATGCCGATGACATCATGTTGTATGCCATCAACTCTACTGCAAACCAAGCCTAACCAGGAAACAGTGTGTCTTTGATAACCTCCAGGCCTTTTTCATTGAACTCGAGTTTGTTGTTGATTACAAAAAATTATAATTTCACAGTACAGATCCTAAGATACCTAAGAATATTGGAACTTGGTAATCGAAAATAGAGTATCATTTTGTATATATTTAGGAGTTTGGCTGGAAATTGCGCAAAAAATATAATAAAAATTGTTTGAATTCCCCCAGAAATAAAAAAAAATTCTGTACTGTTGTTGTATCTCTTGAAAGTTATTTCATTTACCATTTAAGCCCTATTCAGATAGTCAGTTGGTTTTAGTTTGTGACTGCATCTACAGATTTTCATCCACAGAAACATTGTGTAGAAATGTTTGAACATTAAAGCACTTAGAGGTCCAGTGAGTAAGATTTAGGTGAAAGGAAGATATTGGCAGAAATTTACTGTAGAATAATCCACATGATGTTTTCACTAGTTTGTTTCATCTAAATTGTATGAATTGTAGTTTTATTTACCCCAGAAAAGGCCCTTTATATCTAACTACTTTATATTTACAAAGAGGGGACCCTCTCTACGGAGGCCGCCATGTTTTTTACATTAGTCCAGACTGAACAAACTAAACACCTTTTGAGTTTTTATGACAGCTAAAGGCTACCATAGGTTCTTTCTCATGTTTGGAAGGAGAGGGTGAGGTGAGGGGTGTTCAGCTGCAACATGCAACTTCAACACTAGATATCACAAAATTCTACACACTGTACCTTTAAGGCATAAGCCATAAATCTCACTTAGCAGAAATTAGTGAAACTCTGCTCCATCCCATAATAACGCGAGCGAGGAGGTTGAATCAGTGGTTAAATATTAGGTGGGCAGCAACAACGTAGATGTGATGGTTGAGGAGAAAAACCAGATAAGAGGCTGATTTTTAGGATAATAAACCTTTGTCCTCTTATCTTTAGATCTTATGGCCTATTCTTTGTTTTAGACCTTTATGTTTTACATTACATTGCGTCAAAATCATCCTCCACTTCCTGTGCAGGACACAGCACAATGAGGACAAGGGGACAGACCACAGTCCCCACACAGATTCCTCAGCTGGGCAGAAATTAAAACATTTGATCTGAATTCTGAAGCTGTTTGTTTGGACCCGGGTGAAAAGGGGCTATTGTATGCAAATATCAGGCAGAGAAGCATATGACCTCTCCAGTGCAGGGCAGTGGCTAGTGTGAGAGAAATCATTAGCAATGCAAAGTCATGGTGCTCTGATACTCTTGTTCACAGTTACAGACTGAAAAAATAGCAATCTGCTTTTGTGAATATAAATGTTTCTGGATGTACTTGACTCCAAACTGCAGCTGAAGGTAAGTCTGTTCTATTTCCCACTGTGTTGCAAGAAGAAATAGTTTGTTTTGATGCCGTTCAGCTGGCTTAGTCTGTGCTTATAGGTAGTTTGTGCTTAACTGTTATGACATTGAGGAGTTTGGGAAATACTTTAAAACTTAAAATTACACTTAAAGGGAAAATAAACATAGACTATCCAGCAAAACAGAGATCTTCGCAAAATAGAGTTTAACTTCATACTGTCTGAACCAAAGGAATCCTTCTCTCTTAAACTTGTGAGCTAAACTGAGAAGAAGTGAGTAGCAGGCTACAGATGTCGTTACGTTGGGTGCAGATGCCCACTTTGCATGCTCCCCCATGGCGACTGTCACATGACGCATGGTGCCAGACTTCAGTGTTTCACTCTTAAATGGCCTGCCAACTGCCCAGGGAGGGCAGAGAGGCTCCCTTCTTCTCTGGAGTCCCATCCATGCCAAAGCAGTGGGTCAGCGTTGTCCTCTACGTCGCCTCCTATGCCTCTTACACCTCCTGCTGAGCCGGGTAACAACCTTGACTTTGATATCACACTGGAAATACAAACATGTGGAAGACACATGACAAACATCAGCGAGAAAGAGGAAATGAAATACTTTTTAAAAATTGAAAAAACAATTTGAATAGGTGAATTAGAATTTACCAATTTGGTGGAAAGAAAAAGTAAGGAGTAAAAGACAGTTAGACTAAATTATCTTCTTTTGTCAAATTCTGTTTTCTAATCTGCTGGGATTAAATTGTCCCACTATGATTAAACCCTAATCCTAAATTGGCATTTAGACTAAACATTTATTCATAATTTAACTGCTTAATATTTTATCAGATTTATAATTTATTTTTCAGACAATTCTGTGAAGTCTCTGGTGTTCACCTGACTAGATAATAGATATAGATAATGATATAAATGATATTATTGTATATTCAAATAATCTGCAGAATATTTTCTTGATTGTTTCTTTTATAAAATATAAGATTGTCTTCTCAAATTCAATTTTTTACAAATCAAAACCCAAATATATTTAACTTTATATCACATAGGACAAAGAAAATCCTCACAGTCCAGAGGTTTATTATTTCATCTTGAAAAATTCCTTTTTCCTTTAATAATAATAACAACAGCTTTCTATTAATTAACTAATCCATTGATCATGTACTTGTTCCAGCTCTAATGTTCTCTTTTTAAAAATATAAAGATCTGCTGTGAAAATGGAGTGATTTTTGAGTGAACTATATGTCGGGTGTATATGTACTAGTACTTCTTGATTATAGAAAAAATCTACCTGCTCAGTCCTCTAAATACAAACAGACTATTTTTCTTCATCACACTGACACAGTGATTATAACTAAAGCCATCAGTTCAAAGTTTATGTCAAGAATTCTACATTTTTGTCTAAACAGTCAGGAGGCAATTCTCTTACCTCAAAGTTTAGGCTTTGAGTGAGTTCACTATATAAAATAATGTTGAAACGTTTGGGTGGTATGACTGTTAATTTTAAAGGGACTATAAACATGGTGACTGGTGCCAGACGGGCAGTTAGAGGTGCAGAAAATGTATAGACTGCTAAATTACTCACAGTTAAAACAATTAGTTAGGAGGGGCTGTTAAAAATGCAGAACATGGGACCTGTGGATAATAATAATTGTTAGAAGTTTAAAAAGAAAGCAGCGTGTTTTAATTCTGTTGATTTTTTCTTTATAGCTACTTTTATGGGGACATTTTTGTTCAGTTTATTCTGTTCTTCGATGATTTACTGTATGATTGTTTTGTCTCATGTTACATTATGTTCTGTATTTATTTGAAAAAGGAAAATAATATTCAGCATCATCCTATTTCACCTGATGACCTTTTCACGTGTTTTTTGCATTTTTCTTCATCAGACCCAGAACCAAAGATGAACTGGGCATCATTTTACGCTGTCATCAGTGGTGTGAACAGACACTCCACAGGCATCGGTCGCATCTGGCTCTCTGTCCTCTTCATTTTCCGCATCCTGGTGCTGGTGGTCGCAGCAGAGAGCGTGTGGGGCGACGAGAAGTCCGGCTTCACCTGTAACACCCAGCAGCCGGGCTGCAACAGCGTCTGCTATGACCACTTCTTCCCCATCTCTCACATCCGCCTGTGGGCGCTCCAGCTCATCCTGGTCTCCACTCCCGCGCTGCTGGTGGCCATGCACGTGGCCCACCGTCGCCATGTTGACAAGAGGCTCTACAGGCTGTCAGGACGGGCCAACCCCAAAGACCTGGAGCAGATAAAGACCCAGAAGATGAAAATCACAGGCGCTCTGTGGTGGACGTACGTCATCAGCTTGTTCTTCCGTATTGTCTTCGAGGTCATCTTTATGTACTTGTTTTACATGATCTATCCTGGTTACAAGATGATCAGGCTGGTGAAGTGTGACTCGTACCCATGTCCCAACACGGTGGACTGCTTCGTGTCGAGGCCCACGGAGAAGACTGTCTTCACTGTGTTCATGTTAGCTGCGTCTGGGGTGTGCATTCTGCTCAACATTGCAGAAGTGGTCTTCTTGGTGGGGAAGGCCTGCAGTAAGCATTTGCATAATGCTGGAGACTCAACTATGGGGGCCTGGATCCAACAAAAACTCTGCTCACTCTAACAAAACACTTAGATTATAAAGATCAAACCTGCACCAAAGAAAGTGACAGAAAGAGTTAACTTATGGGGAAGATACATACAATATATTGTCATACTACAAAGAATTCACTGTTCACACATCAGTGTAGTCCAGACATTCTCACTGGCTATGCAGAACATACATATATTAGAACACACCAAAATCACTGTAAACAGCTGCACTTACACCAACAACAATATAATATAACAGGATATAATAGCTTTGGTAATTGATGTTTGGCCAAATAAAGAACAGTAATAACTATAGTAATAATTTTGAAAAGCAATATTGCAGCTGACCACATCAGGCTTTAATTGTCATTGGCTTTTTTGATGAAGGCGTTTGGTCTTGAAATGAAAACATTCAATTTAGATGTTATCTGCTGAAAATACAATGTACATCTGATACTTTAATTTATAATATTCTATTGTTTACATCAAATATCATCACAACTGGTATGGCTTTTTTCCAGCTGCTATAAGTCAAATGTTTTACTAATACATGGAGAATATGTTGGAATATATAGATGTTGAATTATATGATATTCTATGTTTTTGTTTAATAGAGATTTATGATGGTTTAATGGCTAATCAAAGTAATGACTTCCGACGACAAACTAAACATTTTATTTCAGTACATTCGTTTTGTAGCTGGATGTTTGAATATTGTCAATACGCAGATAAAATCAACAGGCGTTTGTGTAGTTGTTAAATTTTTAGTTTCTCACCAAATAGAATTTCAAACTGAGACTAGAAGACATGCAGGAACACACAATGGACCACAATAGTTCTGGTGTATGTTCACAGAATTTCCTGACGAAGTTGAAATGTTCAATATGACACCATAAATCCCCAGAGCAGAAAGCTGTTGTATCATGAGGAGCAAATTAAGTTGCAGTCGCAGCGGTGCCACTTTGTGATTCTTCTCAGCTGTCGGCAGTGTGACTGGGGAAAGAAAGCTGAAGGAACTGTGGATGAAGCTTTATTTTATGTTTAGCGTCGCCATCTTTAGACGTGCAATGGTCTCTGAGTCATGGTGCCACCTGTGAGGAAACATCTCAGGCTGATAAAGTTCTACCTCTGAAGGCCAGAGTGCAGAGTATTGGGTGGTTATCAATAGCCTGGCCACGTAAGGGGTCAGTGAGTGGGCGACAATGGTTGACCCAGGGGACAGCTGGACCTGCCGTGACACCGCAAGAGGGCATTTCTCTTTTTAAGGCAAGTGTCAACACACACCATCTACAGAGCGCAGAGTGAAGAGACGCATATCGACAGTGTACCATAAACAAATCCCTCCAATCTAATAATACTCATGTGTTTCCAAATTTCAAGAACTTTAGTCCTGCCTACTCAAAATGTTTCATCATGGGGAGGTTCACACTTTTTTAAACAACATGAATTGTTAGGTCATTTAAATAAGAGTAAGTGTGTATTGGCAGGAAAATGTGCTTGAGTGTCAAAAATACCAATTGTTCAAAATGGCTTCAATAAGTATATTG